AGAACTTGATAATAAAATAATACAAAGGTAAAAAATCTTGTCTCATGTTCCTACTTAGGCAAGAGTTGTTTTTTTTTATAACTCAAAGTAATTAATTATCACATTATTTATAAAGATAATAAATCTAACGATAAGGAAATAATGGTGCCATAACCTTAGACAATGGTAATGAACTATTAATAACATCACTTTCTTGTGGATATACTAGTACTATATTTTGTTCAACATTCAACTCTTCCACATCATTAGAGCTCCATACATTGGCATTTCATCAATTGAAAATTTTGACATATTGTTATGTATATATAAGTTGTGAGAAGTCAAATAACTTTGGTACTAATTTTTTGGTTATGTCATGCTTCACGTTGTAGGAGTGTTGACATTCATTCATTCATTCAATGTCATTTCATTATCTTATGTAAGATGTATGCCAAAGATATCACTATCTTAGAGTAATTATTACAAAACCTTTTTGTAATAATTGATTAGGTCAAGTAATGAATGTAACTGTAGCACTCAAATCTGTGATAGTTAGTCATTGATGGCATGATCCTACTCCTATTTCAAATGTACACCACCTTTTTCAATAATATTGGGCAATGGATATAATGCCTTCTAATATGAATTCATCATTAGTCAAATTTAGATATATTTAGTTGTTCCTTAATTTTGTGAGCACCTTTGTAAATGTTTTACATGTTCATCCATACTTCATACATTCCTTGAAGACAACATTCATTCATGTGCAGAATGTTACTAATACATTAATGAGTTTGAAAATGTCACCTTGAAATCAAAGAGATTCCTCCTTTTTCTGAAAGATGGTGAGAATTTGTAAGGAGCCTTGGTGGGGCAAATGAGCCTCACATTTAATAGTTTACTCAAATGTCTATAAAATTTCTTCAAATATGTTTATATTGTCTTGTATGATGCATGTGTTGGCAAGTGCATCTGACGAGACTAAATCGTATGGTCGTTGAATGCACACGATTCAGTGTCAAAACAAAGTCCTAATCTTACCAATTTATGATTAATCAAAGTAATTAATTAGTATAATGGTAATTAAGGGTCGAATCCACGGAGAATTAGGGAAATTTGAGAGATATCTTTGACATTCGGTCAAATCAGACGATGAAATTAGGTTAGAAATTGGAAAATTTAGTACATTAAGAAAGATAACTCAATTTCGAATCCATGGAATCAAAAATCAGGTGATTTGGATGAGAATTCGAAGAGTAATCGAAGTTTGAAGTTAAGAGAAATTTTCGTATCGCGAAATGATTAAAAACAGAAATTAAAACTAAATTAAACTTAATCTACAATACTTAAAGTAAAATTAACAGTAAATGATGAAAGATTAAGATGAAAAAAAACAATCTAACCCAAATTAGCCTTCGAAATGATCCAATTAATCGCCGTATGCAAGGCTTGTCATTCCGAATTTTCGAAGACAAAAGAGGAGTTCAAGACTTGATTTCTTCCAATTCTTTCAATCAAACATTGAAATTAAAAATCCAACAGAAGTGGAGATGAGTTGCAAACACAATGAAAAAGATGGCGCGCGAATTGGAGCTCTAAACAAGGAGAAATTGAAGATTGATCGCGGCCGTTCTTCCGTCGCGAAGAACGGATTTTATAAAATTCGTAAATGATCGTGGCTGTCCGATCTGATGGAGTTGATCGCGATGGACGATCACGATGAGACGCCTCTTCTCGAATCGTCGCGACGATTCGACGATCGTCCGACCGTGATCGTGCGGTTAAGATGTGATTGGATGTCCATCTGATGTGAATAATCTGGACCGTTATAGCTCTCGATCAGACGGTCACAATTTATTCACTTAAGTGAGTATTTAGGCACGTGGTTGATCTCTGATCGCGTGGACCTCGATTCCACGTGATCTACGCACGCTATTTGTCGCGATGTCGATCGGACGCACGAGATCACGCCACGCGTCCTGCACATAAAAAAAAACTAAGGGACTTTAGTCCCACACGGGAAAAACAAAGGACTTTAGATCCACGTATACACGCGCGACATATAACCCCTTTTTGCGATTTTTTAATTAATTTAAAACATTTAAAAATCGAAAATAAAAATAAAAATAAAAAATTCAGAAAAATTCCAGAAATTCTGTAAAATTGTAAAAATCATAACTTTCAAAATACAACTCCAAATTAATTCAAATTTGTTTTTTTGATTCAAAATTGAATAATCTATCATTATAAAAGGTCAAATTATTAAAATAATAAGATAATAAATTTTAATTAATTTTATACATTTATGTATTATATAAAATAAATTTATATAAATACATAAATGTTAATAAATATCTTTTCTCTCATATTTTCACTCTTAAAACATGATTATGATCATAAATATAATTAGGATTAAAGATTGTAATGTGTAATTATTTATAATAATCTATAATTTGGTGTAGTTTAAGATCATAACATGAATTTACACAAAATGATAGAAATATACTTAAAATATGATAACATGCATATATTTGTAATGATTAATGCATTAATTTATATTAATAATTATATAATTACATGCATAAATAGCATGTTATCAGCATCCCTCACATAAGTAATTCTAATAGCAAGTCTTAAACTCTTCTAGGAGTCATGAACTCCTAATAGAAGTTGTTAGTGTGGCAGCCTCTATTGCTGCACATAAAACCATCACATGTATGACATCATGTGACATCACAGAAGTTGATGATGTAGCTTCTATCATGGTGTTTCCCAAACACCAATACTAAGTATCATGCACTTGGATCCCTTAGGTTGGACCTTGTTATCTAGCCCCCAAATAGTCATAATAATTTTGGCCCTTGGGTTGTTGGTGTTCTCCTCATTCTTAGTACAAAGCACAATTGTATCTCACTTGTGATAAAAATATCATCACAATATTGGGAGATACTAGCCTTTGCCCACATTAGAACATTTATGCCTAAGATAACTTCTAAATTGTCTATGAGTAGCATCATGAAATTTATTAACCCCTCTCATTATCCCACTCATACTAAGGTTCTCAATGTCACCCCCGATCAAGGTACAAGCCTCCAAATTAATAATCTTCATGTGGACATTGCCCCATTACAACATCAAGCGTAGTTGGGTGGCTTCTTTCTCTGAGATAAAGTTGTGTTAGTCATATTGTTCATCATAGTAGGGGTGGGCTTGCCATTGATTATAAGCTCCATAAAGATGAGCTAACATCCTTTTAATATTGTTGGTTTTATATATTACTATAAGACACCTAATAACTAAAAAACTTTATAAGAGTAACATTTAATTTATTTTTAATTTCTACATAGTCAAGACTTTTTTTTTATTTGCCTTTATTTTTAGTTTGCATGTGCAAAACATTTTCTTTCCCAATGAGTGACTCCACAAATTAAAGCACCTATTATATTTTGGTACACTCCCTTCTCTCCACAAACCACTTCTATTTTAGGTCCACCTTGTCCCCTCTTGAGTCTCTTATTACGATTGCCACCTGGACTACCACTATTGCCACTTTGTTAACTCTACCTATCATTGTATTATCATTTACTTCTACCTTGAAGGTTAGTGAAAATAATCTTATAGTCCACCAATGCATTAGCTTGCCACTATTACCTTATAGTCTTTTGTGACATAATTTTACTTAGGCTCAAGGGTGAAGGTCAATCATAAAGTTGAATAATTAGTCTTTGTCAAACATATTTTGTGTGACTAAGAGAGAAGTGAAATTGCTTCATGTAATCTCTCACAATGCCAATGCAATGGAATTGACATAGTGTCCCTTATTAGTCACATGTTATTTGTGGAAATAATTGCTCATTTAGCTCAACAAATTCATCCCAAGTCATGATATATATAGACTTTGGTTCAATCTAGGGTCAAAGTCCACCATAATTTGGCATCCATTGAGAGGTGCATACTAGTAATCATGACATTTTCACCCTTGATCGTGTGGCTCATCTTAAAGTATTAATTGAAAAATCAAAAAGAAAATTATCAATTTCTTGTACATTGTGAGCTCTACATACATCTTAGGCTTCATGCAGTTTAGTGATATGGTACATCAACTAGTTTTGTGCTTGTTGCCATGCATTTCAACATCACCCCATCAAGGGCCTCCAATACCTCTTGCAAGACAATGACATTTGAGCTTAAGCTCTGTACATCATCATCAGTACAGGTAATAGCCTCTATTGCCATCACTTGCACATCCTCCAATCATTCATTCATGGTTTGAAGGCTATTTGTAACGTCTTTTGGTGCAACAAACACCACACAAGGATACTCTTCGACACAAGTTAGCATTTACTCCTAAGTTTCACTTTAGTTAAGATTCGCATATAGAGGGGCAAACACGCAGCACAAAAGAAATACACAAAATATGAAGGAATTCTATGCCTTCTGATGGCTGAGTTTCATACATTATATCGGGCATGCCAACTACCAAGATGTCAAAATATAACTCCTTGCTCTATGACAACCCTTAGCCCCTACCATGATGCCCTGCTCCACTAAGGGCTGTTGGTACATTCTGATGCCCTACTCTATTCCAATGACTAGCATGTTGTTATTCTTTTGACACCCTACCCTTCTTTGACATCTTGGTCTTCATACATAACCAGTTGATGTTGATGGATCTCCTACCCTTCCTCTTGCATGCTCCATATGTTGTGGACATCATGCATGCTGTTTTGCCATGCACATCATGGACCATTCTCATGTTGTTGGTATGGGGTCATGCACACGATACATGCTTCTCTTGATATGAGGAATGGGCTGGGCTTGGTGTGGAAGATTTTTTTTTTTTGGGGGCCCAGGCCTGGATACGATGTCCAGTTATGCACCAGCCCAAGCCCACCTAAAATCAAGTGGGCCCATTATTCTTCCCTCTGGTAGGTGTCTAATCCTTTTTTGGAACTGGGAGCAGTCGTCGGTGAGAGGTCAGGCGACTGTTGCTGCTCCGATCTCCTCTTTGATCGCCGGCGATGGAGGCCCTGATTTGCAGGAAGCTGGGGGACCCAACAGGGCCGATGACGGAGACGTCGCCGATCGCGGTCTCCACGTCTCATCCGAAGCCGGAGATCGGCTCCCCCACGGAGGTTAGAGTCCGGGTCTTTTCGACGAGTTTGAACTACGCCAATTACCTTCAGATATTGGGGAAGTACCAGGAGAAGCCGCCTCTCCCCTTCATTCCGGGCTCGGACTTCTCTGGCGTCGTCGAGTCCGTTGGGAGTGGGGTCGGCAAGTTCAAGGTCGGCGACAGAGTTTGCTCCTATGCGTCCCTTGGGTCCTACGCTGAGATGATAGTTGTGGACGAGAACCATCTGTAAGTTTATCAATTGCGCTGTCCGTGGTATCCGTAGTCTTTCCGTGGTTAATTTGCCTCGGCCGGCTGTTATGAAGAAGCTTGATAGTAGGTAGGTGGGCTCAGAAGAGCACACCGATCACATCATAAAATAACATAAATCTGCAATATTTCGTTCCATCATTTATGAAAAACTCGATAAACTTGGTGGATATTTAAAAGATATTCTTTATTTTCTCCATCACTCGGACGTGTATAAGAAAAATATTGTGACGTTTCGTTTCCTACAGCATTTTCCAATATATCATTTTTTTATTAAAAGAAAAGTGATTAGCAGTTCTTAAAAAAAAATAAAAAAAAATTCAGCCTGGAGCTGTTCAGATTATTTTCTCTTCTTGAGATCGACTTGAGACTAAGACTAAGAACATACTTGCAACCAAACAGAAATATGCCGAATAAAAATTTATCAAATGTATTCAAGTCAAGTTTGTCATTTCTGTTCTTAGAGATGGGTGTTGACATGATTAGGAACGTACGAGGGTTTTTTCAGCAATTTCGTTGATTTAATCTGTGTTATTACAGAATTGTCGTTTAGATATTTACTTTCATTCACATGGATTTATTCATCTTCATTGGAAAAGGTTTTTAGTTCCGGATGGATGTGATCTGGTGGATGCTGGAGCCTTGCCTGTTGCATTCGGTACTTCACATGTTGCACTTGTTCACAGAGCTCAGCTGAAACCAGGCCAGGTAATTTTTTCTCCGCTTACTGATTTATCACCTTTATCCTTTGAATTTTTGTACTGGCTTACAGCATCCCATCCGATGGGCTATTTCTTTCATAGAGTGCAATGAATAAAATGATCCCTCATTCGGATATTCTGCCATCATAATAAAGCAAGCAGGTGGGCAAAACAAATGCTGAGAACTATGATTAGCTAGCAGTAGTGTGATCTTTACTTCTATTCCTCAATGACTAAGGATGAAATAATGGGAGGTCGCCTTAATGGCTAAATGCTTATTTTAGTTTTTCTTAAATCTTCCTGACACTAACACGCTAACTCTGTAGTTTTATTTTTTTAATCCTCGTTTTTTATGTAACTAATAGACCAACCTTGTATACTTGGGTTGGTCTTTTCTTGATTTCTTTTTCTTTCTCCTTTCATCTCTCTTTTCCCAGGGATGACGTTTTATTCCTCCCGTTCAAAGGAAAAAGAAAGAAAAGAAAGAGGTTTTTTCCCTGAAAATCTTAGATAGGAAGATTGGGGGAGATGTTTCAGGTTATCATGGAAGGCTTCTGAATGGTTTTTCATCCAAGAATATGGACTTCTTTTGGAAAAAAATCATGAATAAGTCGGAGGATTTTGCTAGCATTAAAGTTCTTTAAAATGTTGAGAGCTGTTTTTTTTTTTTACTCTTTTAATGATGAAAGGAAGTAGAGATCAACGGATTGATGTTTCTGTGGATGAAATTTTTATCCCATGGTTCAGAAGAACCTCAGACCAGAAGTTTCGTGAATTCTTTCAGGTGGATGGGGATACACGTCCAAAAAGAGGCTTCTGAATAGTTATATTTTAAGAATCTAGAGATATTCATAGGTTCATGATTTATGGTGCCGTTTGGCAAGACTCAGGCCCATGAAAATAGTGAGAACTGTTTTATTTTTAAACAGTTTATAGGTTCATGATTAAGGTGCAGTTCGGAAATAGTAAGGCTCATGAGATTAGTGAGAACTATTTTATTTTTAAAATCTTATAATATGGAATGGAACCAAGATTTTTATCATGTTTTGGGTCCATCAGTTTATCTTTGTGAAAGCAATGCAATTAATATGCATGTCTAAAACAAATGGATTATAGTCATACTCTAGGTAAGAAACTGGTATATATATATATATATATATATATATATATATATATTTCATGGATATAGCTTCTGTAGATGCTTAATGTGGAGAAATTCATGTGCTCCCACACGCCATTGAATTTCTCTTTTGTTTTTGGCTCCCCATCCAAGTTATTTATTTATTTATATATATATATATTTATTTATGGTGATGAACAGAGGCAGATACAGGGATTTGAGATTTCCTAATAATTTTTTTGTGGGAAAGAGGCCAACCTTCTGTTGCAGGCTGCCCTCTCATCATCAAGATGAAAATATTCCATTTCCTTTGACTGAACCTTGTCTATTAGATGCATTTTTCTACTCGAAACCTAGGGAATGCAAAAGTCTACTGTCACACGCTTGAAGCGTTGACTTGATTCATGTCATTTCTTTGTGTGCATTCTTGCTAAGATGTTAAAAGTTATATTGATTCATACAAAGATTACGTCTGCATTAATTAATTTTAAAAATGCAGGTATTACTTGTTCTTGGTGCAGCTGGTGGTGTTGGGCTTTCAGCCGTACAGATAGGCAAAGTTTGTGGGGCCATTGTGATTGCTGCAGCCAGGTACCCGTCGGATGTCATATGAACGTATTTGATGCATTTGGGGTACCTATGCATGATAGCTGATTGCGCGTTGAATTCCAGGGGTCCGGCAAAAGTCAATTTCCTCAAGTCATTGGGCGTTGACCACGCTGTCAATCTGAGCCAGGACGGCATTATAGAGAGCGTGAAGCAATTTCTCAAGACTAGAAAACTCAAGGGCGTTGACGTTCTGTATGACCCAGTTGGAGGCAAACTAACGAAAGAATCCATGAAGCTGCTAAATTGGGGAGCCCATATCTTGGTGATCGGATTTGCATCCGGTGAAGTTCCCGTTATCCCAGCAAATATAGCTCTTGTTAAGGTAACCCAGTGGACTTGACTTTTGTTTCAGAAGTCAACTGGTAACCCAGTTGACGTAATTCTGACATGTATATTTGCTATTCAAGAAATTAGTAGATATTCTAGATTCAGTCTTTATTATGTGATTCTATTTCATCGAAAAAAAACACTATATATGAAACCCAGTGGAGTTGACTTTGTTTCAGAAGTCAAATGGTAACCCAGTTGACATAATTCTGACATGTATATTTGCTATTGAAGAAAATAGGAGATAATCCTAGATTCAGTCTTTCTTATGCAATGCTAGGTCATCGAAAAAAGAAACTATATATATGAGAAGATGCAGTTTTGAAGTTGGACCGAGGGATTGCTAGAAAGAAATAATCCAGACTTTGCTTTGATGAATATTGACGCGTTTTTTTATTGCAGAATTGGACGATCCATGGGCTCTACTGGGGAAGTTATAGAACGCATTGCCCTCGTATGCTCGACGATTCCTTGAACGAGCTGCTTTCTTGGCTGGCGAAGGGTTTGATCTTCCTCAATATTTCTCACAGATACACCCTATCGGAGGTCAGTCAGTCTTTCATGTCAATCTCGTGCGTCTCTTCCCTTTTTCAGCATATTCTTGTTCTTACCGATTTCCGTTTTTGGCATCTAATCCAAGAAGATGGGAAGAAAAATCCCAGCCACAGGAAGAGGGAACTTTATAGATTCTAGGGTTCCTGGGAATGAACGTGATTCTGGCACATTAGCCCTTTCATGCAATTCAGTTTCCTAGTCCTCTTTTTGTCAACGGCCTTCAACAGGCCGGCAAAGTCAACAATAAAGACCCTGCAATCAGTCCATTCAGATGCCAAAAAGCTGACCACATTCGGTTTTCTCACTTCCCGCAGGCCAACCTGGCCTTCTCGGCCATCAAGGAAAGGGAGGCCATCGGCAAGGTGATGCTCGTCCTCGCAAGAGCAGCAACGGCTAAGCTCTGACTGTGAAGCAGTCAACGCCAACTCATTTGCTCCATAACCGATGGGTGATTCTCCTGGTCTCCCCAGATCACAAGGATGATGGAAGCGCATCCAGTTTCTCGAAAGACTCTCCCTGTGTAATCAAATCAGTCGCTAAGGAACAGGGGCAGATTGATCCTCTGAGGGCCGTACTAATAGAAAGAAGCTCCATTTAATCTGCCGATTATGTAAATTAGCCAAGAAGGGTGCTGGTATTTAGATCGAATAGTAACTATAGTGGAAAAAATTACGTATATTTCTGGGATTAAAAAAAAAAAAACCAGAGTTGTCGTGGAATTTTGTAAGGAGAGCTGTTCTTCAGAGAGAGAGAGAAAAATAAAATTATGGTTTAATAAATGAGAACGTGAATATATAGCTCGGGATTTTTGTAAATAAATGTGGGTACCATTAATTAAAAAAAAAGAAAGAAAAGGAAAGAAAAAAGAAAACAACATTGAGAGGAGAGACTCGGTGCAAGGAAACATAAAATTCATCGGCAGAAGTAGGAACCTGGAAGAGCGCTTCATCTTTGGAGTACATTCCTCATCTGTGATCCCATCCATGTGTACAGTGTGCGGAGCAGGAGCAGCCTCTACGCATACAAACTCCCCGTGTGGGCATCATTACATCAATAAATGATACAGATGCCGAGCTGCTGCATGCTCTTCGGAGCAAAACATAATGTTGAAGAGGGACTCAATTCAGTACTAGTGGTAGTAGTAGTAATGGTGGTGGTGGTGGTGGTGAGAGGGGAACCTCGAAGCTTCCTCCCCCCTCCCCCCCTGGTCCGAGCCTTGCTACTCAGCCGCCCGCGCCTGGTCAGAACAGCTGGAAGAACAGGCTCGTTGAGCCGTCGCCGAACGATTTGAGGTCAACGGGCTTCACCAGGGCTCGGCACAGTGGGCAAGTCCGCTCCCGCTCGAACCTGGAGAACAAAGGAAGAAACACCAAGGAACAAAGAGATCAGAATTTATTGAAGAATTGGAGCTTCTGGGGACGACCATTAATTAATCGATTTCCAGGAAATATGCATGATTAAAATTACTATGAAATGTTTTTTTGGCCATCCTTTGAGAACTAGATTGAGAACAAAGTACTATGAAATGGTGATCAGATCACATGTGTTATAAGGATCAGAGTCCGTGGATCCAAGGAGAGATGATAAGAGATCATGAATCAATAAGATTAGTAACGGTGATCAAAATCAGTGTTAGCTCTGATCTACTTCACTAGCCGTGGACCATACAATCCTGAGAGACGGGCCCACCAGCCTTTGACCCTGGTTTCCCACTCACACAATCCAAACAGGCAAGAACATGCAATCATGGGAGGTTTAATGACCACTTTTTGAGATATTGCTAAATGAGGAACTCCGTTGAAGTCAATGCCCCCCTCAGTTTTCAGCAGTTTTGTGTTATTCTAGTCTCCCATTGGGTAAATGCTTTACCTCCCATAGATAATATAAATTCAAACACCTAAATTTTCGATTTGTGCTGTATTCAGATTTAACATACCGAGGGAAAGCCATTTGTTTTCCTTTTCCGAGATTTACCATATTAAGAAAGCCATGGCTACTGGTTTTCTTCATTTTCTTTAGGTTTGGGGAGAGGGGAAGAGAGCAAGCAGACGTACCATTCTGATACACAATCTTCACAGAAGATATGCTTGCAGCGAAGGAGAATAGGGGAATGCATCTTCTCTTGGCAGATAGCACAGAGATCACCCACTGCAGCCACCTGTTTCATTGCCACACAGAAGTCACGTCAGAGAAGTGAAATATTTAAGCTGTCACAGGATGATGCTTGCTGGTCACAATTGTGTGCCAATCTCAATTATTCCAGGATCTTTTACAGAGTGTAAAGCCCAACAAATCACAATATACCTGTTCCACTGTCGCATATGACCCATAATGAATTTCAGAGTGCGATAATGCTTTCAAGGCTGTGAAGAAGGATTGGACCTAAATGTCAAAAGGATTTTTTTAAAAAAAACAAATTAGTTTTCAGAAAAAATCAGAGATCAATGACTAAATCTTAATGCGAATAAGTAAAAATGGCACCTTCTCGACAGCAGAAGTCAGCTTGAAAGTAAGGTAAAGCCCTGTGGTAAGAGATGAGAATAGGCTCCCATATTCTTTGTTTAAGAAGAATCTGTACCAAACGGGTGTTGGCAGCAAAGCACGATACAGTAGTACAAGATATTCCACCAGAGTCAGCATTTGACCCTAATAAAAGGAAAAAACGTATGCATCATATCCCTTAAAGCGGGCAGAACCTCAAGGACGGCGTTGATTGTTAACAACAGAAACCAAAAATTAATGCAACCCACCTGTCTGCGATAGTTGCGACCCCTGCCATTTCTGTAAAACATGAGAAGCAGGCACTTGGAAATCATTGCTGCCTGCCTCACCATTGTATCTGACAAGGAAACGGAGAACAAGAACAGTTCAGATCAACATATGCATAAATATTCATGGGTTTTATATTAGGGCTACGAATACTGATATTTATATAAAAAAAGGTTCTTCGACATAGTGAGATACCACGTAATAAATATTCTTGATTTTCAGAAAATTCAGAAGATTTTTTATATATATTTCACAGATTTGAACAGATGATCTCACTGTAATACGAGAATGCTTTTCCAAATTATTTCTAGAAAGATTGTGTTCTTCTTCCAATCTTGGTTTTAAAACGTTATATAGAAAAACCTATAGTTATTCCCACCAATGCATCTATGTCCGTAAATAAGTCTAAGTTATCACTGTTGAATGAGGCTACTTATGTTCACAATCCCATCTTTGTTCAAAAACCGTCACAGGATAATTATATACTCGCCTAACCTACAACCCACATCAAAATTCACAACTAGAAAGGTAAAGGTATCAGGAATTAAAAAATAAAAATAAAAAAATGACAGATATGAAAATGTCAAGGTCACGTACCGTTCACCATGATAATAAATATTGCATGCCAAAATGGTGGAATTACTTTGGGTGGACGCATGACTAGTGGGTAAACAACGCCATCATTCCAGTACCACCAGTAGATTCCAACCACATGTAGTGTGAAAGCAAGAGTAATACCAATAAGGACAGAGATTTTTCTTTCTCCCTGCAAGTGGAAAATAAATCAGGATTAAAAAAAAGGCTCCATATTAGTTCAAAACTTCCATGTTGTAGAAAATAAAAAATAGACCACTACTTTGAGGAATGCTTGTGCATGCAAACAGTAATCAGTGCCCTAAAACCTCCCTGAAAGGCATGGAACCAGAAAGCAGATGCCCTAATATGATCCACTAAATAATTTTCCTTCTTGGCGATTCATAAAGTCAGAAGAATCTCTAAAAATGTAATAGAGGTTTTCATCACCTTCAGGGCCGTCTGTTTCTTCAGAATATCATTTGACTTAAACATCACTGCCGCAATCCAGATGGTGACAAAAAACCCTGCAGACCATAAAGACAATCACAGTATTTTCAATAATTCAACAGGGAAAACAAACAAGAACCTCCAGTCTAAGATATCAATGGAAAAGTATCACTATTTTTTGTTGTTTTCCTGAGGCTTATAATGGTGCACAAACAACAAAAAGAACCCAGAATTACAGTATAGGCATTTATAGAGTTGTTGGGGTAAATTGCAATTTATCAGTGTATGTGTTTGTTGATTAATTATCGATAATGTCAATCTACAAGAAACAAGGCCGAAAATGATGACCACTGTAGGTTATAAGAATTGGAGCACCGAAAAATAAAAGTGAAATTACATGTTAATCTCGTGATGAAGGCGAGCACTCAGAAGCATATGTTGCAGGTATGAGAAATATGCATTCTCCTCGATCGTTCTTTTCAAGGAGTCCATTCTAGAGGGATGTTGGACAACACAAAAGAAAAGAAAATATGGGGCTGATGTAATGTTCTTTCGCGCATGTCTAAAACTCACAAGAATGCAATGGAAAGATGGGTGCACCCAAAAGGCCGCGATGATATTATCTTCCATAGGCTGAATTCAACTATTCACAAACATCCGTGTTTAAGAAACCAACTCAACTTTTTTCATGATTATCTACTCTACATGAATACAAGAATTTATTGAACACGAATTCAGCAGACAACTTTCAAGGAAGACAAATGCTGAGAATGAAGGGACAGTGTTAAACAAATACCTTGCAAGTGCTGCCGGATAAATACCACCAATAGAAGCAAGGAGAATGGAAGAATCTGTTCTATCCATCTTGCAGCTTGTTGAACATCATATCTCTGATATGCAGAATCCCTGCTGTTCCCTCCATCGCCGTTTCTTGCTTCACCATCTGTGGTTGGTGAGCTTCCAGAGGGAGTTGATTGAGCCCTAGACGATAAAGCTCCGTCTGATACCCCTCTCTCACTCCTTATATCACCACTGTGATGCTCAGACTCTAAGGGACTGTGGTCTGCCTGTACACCATTTTCAAAGACACTGCTCTCTCTTCCAGGGCCCACAATCAGCTGTTGAGGAGGACCTGTACCCACCCTTATGTTATCCTGCTCACTTGACCCTATAATCCTTATGGAGACCTCTCCACCCCCAGAGCTGGGGGCTACACCACCATCCGACCGACCCAGGATACGCTCTCCCAATCCAGAGGAAACCGCTCCACCGCCAGCCAAGCCCTCGTTCTCTGAATAGCCCGATCGAGGCCGTAGGATACCTGAATACTCCAACAGAGCAGAGAGAGGGGCCTGTAACAAATTAGACGCCAAGAACTGTATTCCATAGCTCCTCGATGACGACCCCCCGCCGTTACTGCCGGCGGTCCCTCTATCTGGGGAGCTCCTTTGCACGTCCGATCCCCCGCCGGACGTCTCCATGGCAATAGAAACTGCAGCCAAATCTCAGGCCCCTGCCCCCAGCTCCGACTAAATATTCTGCAAAACAGCCAAATAAGGACGATTGCAACAGATAGCCGGGATCCTGCTATCCTTCCGCACGGAATTGACAGAAAATTTGACCGATGGGGTCGGAGAATAACAGGGCAACCGGGCTCCTCCTCCCTCCGCTCTGCCGCCCGTATACGCCTGCCGTCGGCTGGTAAAACTCTTCTACCCTTCTACGGCGCGGACCACACCATCTCCCCCATCTTTCGCACGGCCCTTCGCCGCCGTGGGGCCCCTACGGCCGCGTGAAAGAGCTAGAGGGACAGGACCGAGCAGAAGGGCCCTCTGGCGGTGGCGGGGAGGGGGGAAGAGGCGGAATTGAATACCTCCGCTGCAGACGGTGTCGCTCGATCATCAATTCCCTCCGAGCAGTGCATTCTGGAAGAAATCCATCGGATGGATATCTCTAGTCGTCGATGGGGTGTGGAGGAAGGGGGTTAGAGGGAGTCCGTACGTTCACGCAGACCTCGTTCGTTCCACTATGTGCACGCCGGAGCCCAACGGGACCCACCAGCACTTGAGAGAAAGCAGTCCGCCGACATTCATAGAAAACATATTATTAAATCAACAAGGGGAAATTATAATCGTTTTAAACATGTAGTGACCTTATTTTTTAAAAAATATGAAATATCAATGCATATATACCAATTGATTTATAGTATATACCAATTGATTCATGCAATATTAACGGCGAGGATCACACCATATTAAATATTATTTTTGTGTTTTACAGATGGGTGTTAATGGGCCAGGCCTAACTTGCGCCACGCAAACAGGTCCAAGTATGTCCGATAGATCGGGTTCCAATTGGGCCTAAGATGATGCTGATAAGTAAAAGACCCTCCACCAAGAGCAGGCTGATTCCTCCCTTTTACAGAGTATGAAATGAGTTATTCTGGCATAAAAGAACTCTTTATATTTTATGGATATTTCAAATAAATCATCTTTCTGAGAAAATGACTGACAAACATTACAATTTTTTTTTCAAATATAATATAATTTCAGTATTCATAAAATATAAAGAAGTACAATAGACACATCAACCTGCAGCCTCTATATAGCCAATGAGTCTTTGAATATTTTAAAATCTGAAGCTTAGAAGTCAATTATACAAAAATGAAGAGTCAAGTTGATGTAACAAGGATTTGGTCAGCATTTTCCACAGCATACATGCAGGGTTGTGTGAGAGTTTAGGTTGTGTGTAGATATCCATATAGTCTAATTATTCTCGAAAGGGCATCTCAAGTTTTCAAGGGGCAAGCTTAAACTATATCTCATGTAAATAATTTGAAACATCTGATATGCTGATCTCATGTAAGGAATTTTTTGTAATTATCGAAATAAAGTTGGAGGGGCAATGCTCTTTTATCTTCGGAATAGACAGAAACTACTACAAGCTTTTAGTGATTGTTGATCTTAACCTGAGACCTAGAGATGCCAGTATATTAGGCTATTTTTCGACCAAATGGGGCCGCTTCAATTCTTATTTTAAAATAAATAAAATAAACTCTGTATGGTGATCACTCTATGCGACAATCCCCCTCCCCACCCCTTTTCGGTCAAACTAGTGTACATTGGAGGTCCTGACTTCCATGTAGATCGGCTTATCAAAAATGTTATGAGTCCTTCTAGGAACAGGCCTTCATGTCGTAAACTAAATAGTGTGTACCGGGGGCTTCAAGGGGCCTAGTTTAGGAGGGTATTCTCCAACTACATAGGCTAACTCTGTCCACCCAAACCTGAAACCAAGATCTGAAAATATAGGTTTAGATGAGAATCTATACCCTTTATCAACATTTTAATCCATTTTTTCATAATTTAAATTTTAAATACTGAAGAATACAATGCTTTTAGTTTCCGACGAGTACTGATACAATTTTCGCGTACCGTTTGCGGTTAACGACCATGTCCTGTTTACTTGCAGTACAGAGGAAAAAAGAATATCGAGTTTGTAGCATAATATTATTTGAGAATTTTAGCCGTCTCCACCTCATCTTTATAACATTTTAAAACATAGGTTGGCTGACAAGTATTTTATTGTAAAAGAGGGGTAAAGCTGAAATCATCCTGCCACAAAATAAAAGATAACTAAATGATGGAGAATTAAAGTTGATGATCATGTTCTTTAAAACTAGAATAAGATGTTGTGCACCAAACACGTAAATGGGTATCGTATGGAGAACGCCGACCAGACATTTTGAATAAAGATAGGGTATTAAACGTTTTAATCAGGGCCGGGTGCAAATAATTAAAACGCTTAAGTATAACATCCAACAAGATGATGCAAAAGAATACATATCAAAAATAATTGATGAAAACACACAAAAAATTTAAAGTTCCGTGGATCTGATAACACTGACAGAAAACATAGACGAAGAGAAGCTAACTAACTCCGCAATAATTCAGAGGAAATAAGCCCTCGACCGATATAAAGTTGACGGATAGTAATGAAACAATCAGGGGAAAGATGAGAGCACACACAGAATTCCAACGACGCTGGGCGCAGCCAATTTAACGGAGAATGTTTCCAAGTACATGTACATGGTTGCACTTCGTTAGGAAAGAGAATTAAAACATTTATATTCAAGAATTTCTTTGAGGGAGAAAATTACGCCAGGAGATGTGCAGTGGCAACATCTCCGCGACGATACAGAAAGAAGCCGACGAACGAATAAGTCAACGGTGATATCAGACACAGAGGCCGAATTCCTTCTGAGGAGATCTTCTCGAAGTCCTTACTTCCTCAATCTCATTAATGATCACCGCTCAAACAACATAGCCAACGTGTTTCGTCTACGAAATATAGAACCGGCAGAAAATCACTTCAAAAAGGACAGAAAATCTCTGAAGACAACTCCGGCCGATGCAGAAGTAGCCGCTGTGCTTCGGCTAGAATGGTGTAGCAAGAATCACATCAAAGACGGGAAAAAACTCTCCGATAACAACATCATCGAGTCAATAATTCATATGGGGGGGCGAAAACAAACGAGGGGAAGTGATTACCAGCCGGTAAATAGCTTTTTGCGAGTAATGCCGCGGGCTCCCCAACATCGAGCATCCTTGCCACGATCCCAATCGGAAGAGCGGCTCCTAACACTATCAATCTCGCCTCCAACTTCCCCTTTCTCATCTCTCGGAGACTTCTCCGGGAACGATGTGCCGGAGACAAGGTTCACGGCGGCGGTTGGAAAGGGAAGAATCTCGACGACTGCGCGGTTGCTCAGGGCATTCCCGCTCATTTATTGCCCCACCGGGTAGATTCTGTTTCGCTTTTGCCACGAAAATAATTGATTATTTATACCCACTAAATTCACCCCTCTGTTATTTTATATATATTTTGTACCCCCCTGCCCCCCAGTAGTCACAACATTTACTGCTGTACCCTTAATATCATGGCCAAAGGCAATAAATAATGCATTTCACAGACTGTTCACCCTCACCTTGAAAATTATATTATAATTCAAGAAGTCAGAAAAAGTTACTCTCTAGTACTCGTCACAATTTTATTCCTTAACAAACCCAGTACTTCGGCAGTCACCCCAAATAATATAAAGAGCAAGATATCTTGACCGTCCAAGCCGATCCTATTTACAAGCCTTTTTCCACGTGTACCCGTGTACCACTAACACGTATCCCTCCACAGTGGGCCCCCGACTCGAGGGCCGAGCCATTGGAGTCCACCGGCTGGCTCCGGCCCGTGACGTGGCTTGGACCCGCCGGTCGGCACGTGGGAACAGGTGCCACGCTGTCATGTGTCAGGGAATCCAATGAGCCCGGCCCACCATGGATGGGCTCGGGAGGAGCCCGGCCCGATTTGCCCCAGGCCTTCGTACTAATTAATTTAATTGCCAACGAGGCGGTCAGGGACTTTTGGTTCGGCAGCAGGCAATCAGACCACGTTGATTCTCTCTCCGAGTGTCTGTAATCGGGTCCGGCCTATGGGGAACCGAGCGGGTCAGGCTTTCGAGTAGGCCCGGCCCGTCAACACACCTATCTGTCTTAGGCTGGGTTGACACGCGCGAAGTTATCAGTTTATGAGGACTCGAGATTTGTGCACACATGAGGGCAGTCTTTCTTTTACGAGAACCACACGTGGGACTCGGTCCTCCGGTCCCACTCGTTCCCTCCCCACGATGTCAACAGTCTTCTGGCGCCTTCCTCTCTCTCTTCTCTATCTCTCTCTCTCTCTCTCTCTCTCTCTAAGCGTAATGTATATACAGACAGTCGCTGTAAATTTTCACGCAGCACGATTCCTTTGTAACCCACGCGACTGTTAAAATCTGTTCGTCAGGGAGAATCCGAGGAGCCACTCGTTGCTATGCACTCTTCTGTCCCCTTCAGGGAAAAAGGGTCCGGGATCTCTCGTGCTTTCTCTTCTCTCTCTCTTTCTCTCTCTTTCTCTCTCTCTCTCTCGCCTGGAACAGCGGTAGCTCTTTGGCGTCTCCTTCTTCCATCTCCCCCCTTCCTTTCCTTCGTTGGTTATTTCTATCGCCGTGATTTCTCTCTGCAGCGTGTTTTCTGTGGCCTCATGTCTGGATTGTATGCTTCCAGCTTCAGTCCAGCAAGAGTGCTTTCGCCGCAGATAAGAGGCGCTGTGGATATAGAGAGGTATCGAACCGCGCTTGGATGGAAGTTGAGAGGCTTTGTGGGGTTCGTATTCTTTTCACGGGTCGCTTGTGTGTTTCTGAATGCTGGCGTTTGTTGTTATAGTCAGTACTTGGCGGAGCTACTGGCGGAGCATCAGAAGCTTGGGCCATTCGTGCAAGTCCTTCCGATATGCAGCCGACTACTCAATCAAGGTAAGTTTCTCGAGTAGCTCCCTTTGGATTGTTCCTTGTGGATATTCAGTTGCTTCCTGGTTCCGCTGGGTTTCTTAGTCTCCTGTCTATCAAGTCGATTTGTATGCCGTTACGATGTTTAAATACGAGTATAGCCTGTCTTAGCCAGAATCCAGTTGGTCTTTCTTGATCAGTTCTTGATTTGGAGGGGGAACGATACCATTTCTTTGGGAAAAGACATCTTCGATTTTATGCAAATATCCTGCTATGTTGCTTCCTCTGTTCCTTCATCTCTTGAAAACTGATATTTGAGACAGTGAAATATCCAGTCTAATATTTCAACTTCCGGTTATGAAATCATAGATTAGTGAATTCATAGATATGTCCTGATTGTCCTGGAATTTTTTTCGAGTTTCATACAGTGCACGAGTCAGAGTTCATTCAAACATAATCACATTTCCGTTCACACAAAGCACTTATTTTTTCCATAACCCATATCTCAGTTATGTTTTTTAATAACTCATGTCTCAATCTGTCTCTTTAGCTTGTATGGAGCCGTTTGCAAGTTGATGGAAATTTCTGCATTTGCATCACTTTCAAGCATGGGTTATCAGCTGTGTAGTGGTTGCTTCTGTCATCTCGTATGCCAAAATACAATGCCATGTCCCCGCAGGAAAAAATATTCATAACAGCAGGCTTGTTGTAAGTATGGCATTTTGAGAAGCAGAAGAGAAGATTTTTCTCGTTGTGTTATTGACTCTTTTTTCACAAATAAGACCTCATTCGTAACATAGTCCTCTAATTAACCCGTCCTGAATTCTGCATTCATGAATAGTTGTGATTGAAGGGCTGTCTACCTCAAAAATATTTTATTGGTTGAGTAATCAATAATATGAAATTTTTAGACGATTATAAAACCATGAATGGTAATGTAATTTATGTCTATAAGGCGTTTGATCTAGTGGGTCTTGAACTTACAATACCCAAGTATCTATCTGTCTATCTTTATTGCTAAGTTTCATATGTTTATAATTATTTTGGGTTTCAGAATAGAACAGAAAACATAATCTTGCGAGGGAAAACGTACACAGAGGTTAGAAATATTTCAAAAGTTTCTTCATAAGTCTTAGCCTTTTTACATGAGATATTCCAATTACGAAGAATTCTTAAAATTAGTCATTTTGGGAGGATAGCATACCGAAATATGCGTTGATATGCTTAGAAATATTCATACAAGCTTTGGTCACTTCTTTTTCTTTTCTGTCAATGTGCCCTTTCATTATTAAACCAATCGGTAACACACTTTAGTAAAAAACTCAATAATATTTCAAAAGAGTTCAGTTACTATTTTACATGGGTTGTCTTCCAGATTAGAGTCTGTGCAACGTGGTTTCTGATGTTCAACCCTTATAACAGAATAATAGATAAATAAAAACACTCGTTTCCCATTTATCAGTTCTAGCGATTTGTTGGCTCCAAGGACTCCCTTCATGTGTTACCATCTTCTATAAATTACCACAATCTTAGATCTTATCTGGGATGGAAGTTTTTTTTTTTCTGTTGTGTTTATAGGTTGGTTGTGATGTAGGCTATTTTTCTGGTATGAATTCATTTAGCATTGATATCTGATTAGATAATGAATGCACGTAGTTTCATCATCTTGATTAAATACTCCTGTTGCGAGAAGCTTTAGGATTTTACAAGATTCTCAGGTTTCCAGCACATTGTCTTACTTGAGCAAATCTTATAAACCACGTAAAAAGTTGGTATGCACATGTAAGCATCATCGGTGGAACAATTTTTTCCCTTGCTTCTGCCTGTGGGCATGGTAAAGATGAATTTCTATGAATGACGCTGTGTATTGATTATTTCTTTGAAATAATATACATTCGACTAGTATTTATTTTTTCCAACTTTGTGTGTGTGTGTGTGTACAGAGATCATTCGGGTGTCTTCCAGGGTTTCCAGCCAAGGATGTAGTGACTATGACAGGCTGCAGCATGGAAGTCTCAGCCCCATGGCTTCTTCAAACCGTCTCTCTAGTGAGGATCTCAGTGGCTGGAACGGGCTCCAGCCGGAGGTGAGCATCGAAAGGCTTCTCAATCATGATCATAGCTTGTGAGACAGACAACCCCTGGTTTTCATTTTTGACAAAATCCGGGAACTCAAACCTCTACTTAGGAAGTACAATTCTAAACTCTCCAGCCCCAAATGACGAGCTTAAACACATTCACCACACCAATCTGGTATTCGAATGAAAGAAACTCACTCCTGAATAGGACCCATTTAGTTGCCAAATGCATAAAAGAGGAATACGCTGGGAAGAGAAAATAGGCTTCTACTAATATGCTGGAAGCACCGTTCTATCGGTTGCTATATCAGTTCAAATAAATCCTATAATTATCCTGCTGACCCTAGGCTGCTCCTATCTGATCGTAGTCTGATAAGATTATCTGAGACTTAACCATGACTCCCACCTGGTTTTTAGACCGTTGACATTAATTTCTACAAAGCCCTCCCCTCCGTTCATTTTTTTTTTCTTTTTCGTTTTATCCGTTATTTTTTATTCATCCGGGCTTGGGACTTAATTCCCGCGCCTCAGCATTATATATAATTTTCCACCATTTTTTCTTTATTTAAAGGGGTACTTTTTTCACGGTCTCTAGCCATTTATGTCTCTCGTCTCTTTCAGCAGAGATCTAGTGTTCCACAGGGAATGCCGATGGACTGGCGAAGCGCGCAGTCAAGCCCAAGCTTGAGCATCGTCAAGAAGATTCTGCGCCTGGAGATTCCGGTCGACAAGTACCCCAACGTAAGCAGTCCCTGGAGATTCCTGTTGATCTTCTCAGCTCAAAACCTGGGCCTTTGCTGTCGTCCTAAATCTCGTCAGTCCATGCGGTTGGTTCCAGTTCAACTTTGTCGGGCGCCTTCTGGGACCCCGGGGCAATTCTCTGAAGCGGGTAGAAGCCTGCACCGGCTGCCGCGTGTACATCAGAGGGCAGGGTTCTATAAAAGATCCAGGCAAGGTAACTACTTTCCTTCCTTTTATGGAAGACCCAGCCGCGCTCCTCTTCTTGCTCTCAGCGCTGACCTCTCTCTCTCTCTGTCTCTCCCATTTCAAATGCAAGGAAGAGAAACTACGAGGAAAACCCGCCTACGAACACCTGAACGACCCACTCCACGTCTTGATCGAGGCCGAGCTCCCGGTCAACGTGGTTGACCTGAAACTGCAACAAGCGCAGGAAATCATCGAGGAGCTGCTCCGACCCGTGGTAACGAATCTCTCTCTCTCTCTCTCTCTCTCTCTCTCTCTCTCTCTCTCTCTCTCTCTCTCTCTCTCTCTCTCTCTCTCTCTTTCTCTCGCTGCCTCTAACCATAATGGATGCCATTTATGGATGCAATGATCTTTCTTGGGCGCAGGAGGAGTCGCAGGACTTCTATAAGAGGCAGCAGCTGAGGGAGCTGGCCATGCTGAACTCGAGGTTGAGGGAGGAGAGCCCCCGGCCGGGCGGCGGCAGCCCCTCTCCTTCCCCATTTAGCAACAACGGGATGAAGCGGGCCAAGACTGGGAGGTAGTAGAAGAAGGTATGGAGGTGGGCCCCGCTGGATCCAGCAAATCGTGACCGCACAGAAGTCCCGCAAACGGCAAACTCCGACCGCACCAAAAAAAATAAAAAAAATAAAAAATCGCGTGTAAGTGGTTTACTTAATTTTTTTATTCTTTCACTATCTAATTCCTAATGTTTTCGGACTTCGGGACGGACACTCCGGGGATACGTTTGTTTAACTTGGACCATATATCTAATAGTTATTATTTATTAGGCCCATCCCCCGTGGTGCTAATTGGGCCTAATTTCTCTAATTTGAGCCTTTAAATTGCCCCCCGCCCCCTCTTCTCCATCCTCCACTTGGGCCTACGGTCCACAGAGGATTAATATGTTATTTAAATATTCTGAATGGGCGCTGGGTGATATCACTGCGGAGTTCTTTTCTCCATCTTGCCTCTCGGGCTTCTCTCCCTGCCGAGGACGCCGGCGGCGGCAGGTGGTTGCCAGTCCCCTGCCCCCGACCTCCGGCAGCGATGGCATCGCCGGCCTGAGAAGCGGCGAAGCTGTATTCCTCCCTGGGTTTCTTCTGATAATGGCTGATCCCTCGAGGAGGATCATCTGCGGCATCCGAGCTCTCCATGCGAGGGCTGTGCGCAGGGATCCCATCTTCTGGTTCGCGTCCGGTCCCCAAGCCTCCGTGAGTTCCCCGTTCAACGGGAGTGGGAGCTTCTCCTCCGCCGTGGTTCCCAATGCGGCTTCTGATTTGGGGCTCTCGAGCTTTGGAGCTCAGATGAGGTCGTGCTCTGCGTCTGGGATTTGGTCTAGGGTTTTTTCTCTCGGAGGCTTCCCCCCGTCAGCGCCGTCTAATTTGGCGTCGTCTCGTGGCTTCTCCGCCAGATCCGACCGTGGTCTCCGTCCTTACAGAAACTGGAGAGGCAATTACTCCTCTGGATTACAGAGTTCCTGTTGTTCCGTAGCCGGCGTCGCTCCTGCGAGTGGTGCCAGGGTTATCTGCAACTCGTTGAAGGCTGCGTTTTCCTCTTCCACGAAGCTGAAATCCCATGAGACCATTGGGAGATCGTTTGCGGCGAAGCCACTCATTGCTTTGTCTTCTGTGGTATCGCGTTACCGTGAGGTTATCGGGTTGCAGACGGAGGCATTCTGGAAGAGGAACTACCTGGTGCTGGTGGGGGCAGCTGGTGTATTACTTTGTATCGTTCTGTGGAGGCTCATGTTTGGAGTGGCGAGCACCTTCGTCGGGCTCTCTGAAGGCATGGCCAAGTACGGGTTCCTTGCTTTGGCCTCCGCGATGGTAGCTTTCACTGTGAGTACCTCAATTCCTCCTCCCTAGTATTGTTTGGTCTTCACCCTGAAACAAACTGGACCAGTGCAGCGGGACGAATGGCGGGATTGCCCTTAATCCCCTATTATTTACATGATTTTGGTAAGGAAGCTTACTCATCCAATTTCATCAAGTAAGATGAACACAGAGATATATGACACTCCTTTGGACGAAGAAACCGTGCTATGCTTGAAAGCTATATGCTTACCTGCCTTCCATTTTGTTTTTTGTTTTTTTCTTCTGACCTGCATTGGGCCGGAAATGAAGACGTGATTTCTCTCGAGAGACTTGTGCTCGAAATTTCCTGGGAATTATATAATTTTTCATCATTTTACTGATCCATACATGTTTAGGAGCTGTTTGGTCCATTTGTGGACCTTGAACCATTTCATCGCTCAGGGTGTGGTGTGCTCTATTACAATTGTTTATGATAGTTCAGTTGGTGCAGAGAAGATCTTGGCTTCATTCCCAATGCATATTTGGCTCGGAGTTAATACACTGGCCTATGGTCACCTATAATATTTATAACATGATCTAGGGTTCAGTTCACTTTGCTGCTTGGAGAATCACATCGCTCTGTGGGGAGATGTAGATAAAAGAGTAGAAGTAATGTCACCATACGCTGATAAAGGTCTTCTGCCTTCCTGTAACTGTAGCCATTGTCCCCCTTGCCTTAGTGTCGTCCGTTCGCTTTCCACTGTCGTACTTGACTTGACGTGGATGAAAAAAAAAGGGTCAGAATCCCAGTGGGTTCTCTTTCTTGATGGAAGGTCGTTGTCAATTGTCTACCTTTGGGTAGATATTAGTGTTTGATTCTATACCTGTATTATTTTGGGTATACGGTGAATATTGCAATGGAAAGATCTTGCGGAATGGAAGACATGTTTGACATCTGTGACTGATGCCCGTTCAACGTGTATGACTCCCGACAATTTGACCTTGTTTGATGCAATGTGCAACCGAATCAATCGATATGAGCGACCCATCTTTAGATCTCAATAAGAAAGCTTCCTATCTTTCGATTTAAGCAATCTACGCTTAGAATCACCGCAAATTGATGCTGTTCGGACATGACTCAGAATGATCTTGCTTGAGCTGATCTTTCACTCATCCAAGTTATGGAAATAAACAACGTAGTTGGTGAAGCTAGATATCACAAGTTTTTTCTACAGTCATCAATGATCTGCCTGCCGATTAGGTCAGTCAGAATTGGAACTGGACCCATCTGTTCCTGTTCCTAAGCTAGAAAAACATACCTGGTTAGACATCAATATATCTTTGTCTGAAATTTATTATGTTCAGACAATAAATTTTCAAATTTTTACACTGTGCGGTAAATTATTTGATTTCTTTGTTTGTGATGATTCAAATGTAGTAGAATCGCTGTTTCTACTCGGTGATGAACTGAACGAGGCTCTGATTTCACCTGAGAGAGTAATGTTTCTGCGTATGATAAGATTATTTCCCATTTATTTTCTGCTTCATAAAAAAATTCCGATTTTGGTAATGGAGTCTGGAGTTCGCCAGTGCTGAGAAGGAAATCCTGATTTCTTTCTCTCCACAGGGCATATATTTGCGTGCGAGATTCACTGTAAATCCTGACAAGATCTACAGAATGGCCATGAGGAAGCTGAACACATCTGCAGGAATTCTCGAGATCATGGGCGCCCCTTTGACGGGGACAGACGTGAGGGCGTATGTGATGTCGGGCGGTGGAGTCCGCCTGAAGAACTTCAAGTTGAGATTCGGCGGCAAGAGATGCTTCCTGATCTTCCCCATTAAGGGCTCTGACAGAAGAGGCCTAGTCAGCGTCGAAGCAAAGAAGAAGAAAGGCCAGGTTTTTCTCCTCATCCATCGCTCATTCTCTCACTTGATTCTCGAGTTGACCTGTGCGTCCATTGCAGTACGACATAAAACTGCTAGCAGTTGACATTCCCATGGCGACGGGCCCCGACCAGCGCATTTTCATGATCGGAGATGAGGCGGAGTACAGAGTCGGCGGCGGGTTGATATCAGAGCTCAGAGATCCCATCGTGAAGGCCATGGCGGCGGAGAAGGAGTTCGAGGACCAGGATCTCAGGGAGGAGGAAGAAGATGAGAAGAGGGAGCTCGAAGAGGAGGAAAGAAGACGACAGGGTGAGATGGTGAAGCTCAAGAACGAGGGTTCCTAGAAGGATTCCCTCTGACCCATGAAATCTCCCCTTTCTCTGTCATCTGGTGAATAAGGGATTCGAGGCGTTGACCTTTGATCTCCGTGTCCGCCCCTCCTCCTGGGAGGGAGGAGAGGCGTTGACTGATTTTGTTCACAAGATGAATGGCTTTTTTTACAATAAATGTAGAGAGATTATTGCATTGTTTTTTGCCGAATAGAGGAGATGAGATATTGTGAGAGAAGCCTCTGGAGATCACATTCTGGTCAACGCTGCCGAGCGGAGAGCTGTTGCAGTCTTGGCCGTCGGTTTGATCCTCTCTTTCCTTGTTATTCTTTAGCTTTCTGATCAAAGAGAAGCCGCATAGAGAGAGAGAGAGAGAGAGAGAGAGAGAGAGAGAGAGGGAGCCTAAAAGCTACACAGGAAAGAAAGAATCCGTTGCAGTGAAAGTAAGGGCAGAGAGAGAGAGAGAGAGAGAGAGAGTTGGAACCATGAAAAAATCACGCTTTTCACCAACCTAATCGTCTGAACTCCCGCACATGTGAAGTCGACCTCCCGAGGTAGACGTAGAGAGAGAAAGAGAGAAAATAAGAGAGAGAGAGAGAGAGAGAGAGAGAGAGAGAGAGAGAGGGAGAGTCGTTGTTGTTGGTGTCGTCAGGGGACAAAGTACATGGGATTGGGGAGCTTGAAGGTGCGGTCCCCGGGGTGATCCCCCAAGAGGTCGGTCCACTGGTCCCCCACGTTGCCCCATATCCTGTACCCCTCCCGCACCAGCTGCCTCCTCGCCTCCGTCTTGAACACTGCCGCCGACTTCCCCCTGTACTCCGCCCCCCTGCGAATTCCCCCTCTCAACTTCTTCAGAGAGATAGAGAGAGACAGAAAGAAAGAAAGAGAGAGAGAGAGAGAGAGAGGGGGGGGTTGCTTGCCTCATGACGAGCCTCTCGTAGCCGACGAATCCCTGGGTGTGGAGGTTCTCGGCCGTAGTTCTACCCAGCGACTCGGAGTCTCTTCCGGTGAGGAGGAAAACCTTGAAGCCTTTCTTTACGAGGTCTCTCACCAGCCGCAGCATCGGCGGAATCGCCGGGCACGCCCTCCGCTCCGCCCACCTCCTGAATCCCGTCGGATCGAATGGCTCCCCTCTGCACACACCCACACCAGAGAAACCCTATGGGTATATTATCTACCATCATAAAACTCTCTCGTCTCTCTCTCTCTCTCTCTCTCTCTCTCTAAGATGATCGGAGACTGGGTACGTACCCGAAGCGTTTGCCCTGGTAGTAGCGGAGGTTGGAGAGGCAGGTGTCGTCGACGTCTAGGACCCAAGCGTCCCTGTCGTCGCCTGAGACAACGACTCCCTCCATGTAGCGGTATATCTGCTCCACGACGGCTTCCAGCTCCCTCTGGTACTCCCCCCCCACCATGTACCTCTCCACGTACCTCACGCACCGCCGCGGCACCGTCCGCCACCCCCGGAGATTGCCCGTCTCAACCGCCACCCTCCAGCTCAGGCAGCCAACACCGTCGCCGCCGTCGCGGGGAAGCGCTGTGCACCGGCTGAGCTTCGCCCCCATGGCCGTCCATGCTAGCGTTGCGAAGACAACTACTACCGTAGCGCCCCATCTCCTCTCCTGCATCACTGAGAAAGCGGTCGATTGGAACATCTCCTAGAGAGAGAGAGAGAGAGAGAGAGAGAGAGAGAGAGAGAGAGAGAGAGAGAGGGAGAAAGGGTACCTGGAGTCTTGTGGTCTTCATGCTCTGCTGGTCTGCGGAGACGGGGAGAGGAGGAAATTTAAAGGGAGGGAGCTTGAGAGAGAGAAAGAGCGAGAGAGAGAAAAGGTCCTTGGAGCTGTGGGGTCTTCATGCTTCGCTGGTCTGCTCAGACGGGGAGAGGAGGAAATATAAAGGGAGGGAGCTTGAGAGGTGGAAGGAGACCAGAAAGGTGTCGTGGCAGAAGAGAGGACGAAGGAGGAGGGAGGGGGGAAGGAGATGGGGTTTGTCTAGGCGGGGCGTGAGGTGAAGGAGGCTGTGGGACCCCGGATGAGCCACATTATGCTCGCCACGTGGCCCACTAGAGACTCCGCCATGTGGCTTTTGCTTAGTAGGTCATATGCCTGCTTAGTGGCTCCGCCATAGATAGAGGGGAGGGAGGAACTTTCCTGCCTGGCCAAACTCTACGCTCAATAATTGCTTAGTAGAGTTTTCCGTAAATGGGTTATCTTCCTCTCTCTCTCTCTCTCTCTCTGGCGAGAGCCCACTGCCCACTTCATCCACTGCAGAGGAATAATATGTGAAAGCTAGAGAGAGAGAGAGAGAGAGGGAGGAAGAGGTGTAATACTATATTTGGCCGGTGCAAGAGTAAAGAAAACAAAGGAAAGATGCGGGGTTGTCTGGTTTGTGTGAGCAGAAGAAGAAGAAGAAGCCAACTGCGACCAGGAGCGAAAAGGTGGAGAACGAATAAGGGAGAGAGGGAGAGAGGGAGAGAGGGCGAGAGAGAGTGTGTATGTGTGTGTGAGAGAGAGAGATATTGGGCCGACAAAAAGATTATTTTTGGGCTTGAGTGCAAAATAAGCGTGGAAAAAGTACCGGACCCAATGAAGAAAAAGAGGCCCAATAAAAAAAGAGAAAGTGTCTAAAAGAGGGAAGGCAATCAGTTCTCCCCAGTTAGCCCGGCGCAGGAGGGGAGGGCGTACCCTCTTTTCCCTGCCTGCGCTCGTTTAAGAAAAATGGTCTTTCCCACATTCCAATCCTTCCAATGGGTTTCCGTACGATCGATAGATGCCCCACATCCTGTTAAAGGTAGCTCCCCCCTCTTTTTATCCTACCCAGCACCACCGCGGTTAGTTAGAGAGAGAGAGAGAGAGATGTTACACAAGAATAATTATTTAAGTGTGAGAGAGAGAGACGGTACTGCCGTCTTCCGATGAACATCAAGGGCAGCGAGAGAGAGAGACAGATTACAGAAGAAGACGTATTTGAGTGAGTGAGTGAGAGAGAGAGAGAGAGAGAGAGAGAGAGGGTCTGCAAAACTGGATAGTTTATGTAGATGAGTGAAGCAGAGAAGGTTACAAATAAGAAGAGAAGAAGCTGATGGTGTCTTTAAGGGCTTCGATGAAGACGTCCACCTCCTCCTTGGTATTGTAGAAGTGAAGGCTCGCACGTGCGCTCGAGCTGATCCCCAGTCGCCGGTGCAGCAGCTGAGCGCAGTGGTGCCCCGACCGGATGGCCACCCCATGCTGAGACAACCCCCCCCCCCCCAAAAAAAAAAACGTTGACCATTACTTCTAATAAGTTGACCCAAAAGGTCAAACCCAGAGCAGCTAGTTCCAAGAAAGAAAGAAAAAACCACTGGGAAAAACCAGGACTTGGGTATTAAATAATGGCTCCAACCAAGAAAAAATAAATAATTAATGGAAGAAAAATAATACCTGCTCATCCAGCAGGGTTGCGATGTCCGTTGGATGGATGTTTTCCACATTGAAGGAACAGAGTGGGGCCCGGTGGACCGTTGACGTAGGGGCGGGCCCATAGATGTGCACTTTGGGCACAGCCTTGAGCCTGTCATAGAGGTAGCTGGCCAGCTCCTTCTGAAGGAGTTGCCGTAGGAGTAAGAGATCGAAATAGCAAAAAAAAAAAAAAACCCAGTTGGGCAAGAAAAATAGTAGGAAAACAGATCTAAATGTGGCAACTGAACCCAAAAATTCGATCGCTGCTCTTGCAAACATATTTAATAATATTATTATTTACTATTATTTATTGTTCTTGATGTTAAGAAGACTACTTGCCTCGTAGTCGTGAATTCTCTGCATGCCGACGGTGGACAGATAATCGATTGCTGCTCCCAGGCCGATGGTCTCTCCGATGGCAGGAGTTCCAGCCTCAAATCTGCCGATCATTGATCATTCATCATGGGTCACAGAAATCGAAGAAGAGTCCCATGAAGAGTTGACTAAAAGAAGAAACAGATCGGATCGGATGTTCTTATTAAAAAGATACGAATTTTGCACACACAAAAAAGTGAGAAAACAATCATATTCAAGCGCATGCTATGTCGCCTCTCATAAGTTTCCCAAACTAGATTCCTCATTTAGATACAACAATCTAGCAGGAATCTGACTCGAAGACTGAGTAGAGAGTAGCCCATGAATCTGACTCGAAGACTCAGTAGAGAAGAAATCAGTTTCAAGCACTGAAAGGAGTAATGATTTAAGAGATAAATTTGGCTGACCTTGATGGAGGTTCAGCATAAGTCGAATAATCTTCGAAAACATCAGCAATCATCTCGCCCCCACCTGTCTAGGGCAAAGATTATGTGCATAGATATTTCCACATAAAAATAAATAAAAAAATATGCTCGACCGTATAAGTAGTATAGAACAACCAATTGAGTTTACCTAGAAATGGAGGCATTGCAGACAGAAGGCTGATTTTTCCATATAGGAATCCAACCCCTGTAGGTCCACACATCTGAGAAAAGTTTTTTAAATCCTAGATTACTCGTACTGGCCATGGTTGAACTGAAATTATACGGCGATAGCAGGAATTCGTCGCTTGCACCTTGTGTGAAGATGCAACTAGGAAATCAGCATCTAGCTCCTGTACATCGACCGCCATATGTGGAACACTTTGGCATGCATCTACGAGAATTTTGGCCCCAACAGCATGGGCCCAGTGGGCGATTTCATCGACTGGAAGGAGAGAACCTTGGGTAACAGCAAATAATTTACATTAGGTTGAAAAATCAAGAGGTTTATCGGGTAAAGTGAGTAAGAACATTGCAACAACGGCCAGGATCCGGTTTCAGTATATAAGCAAGAAGAGTACCGATCACTCTAAGAAAATATCAGGTCTATTCTGGTGACAAGCATCGGACCAAATGATAGTGTAGCTGACTCCTAGATGGATACCATGCAAAGTGAGGAGATAGCAGCAAGGAGCTATTGATCTAGCACTATCTAGTAAGAATTAAATCGCATGAATGATCATTTTTAACAAATGCACCATTTGAAAACTCATACATCATGATTTACAAGCATGGAAATTGCAATTCACAGAGATCCGGCGTTCAAATCCAAGTTCAGAAAGTTCTCACAGAATTGGAAATTTTTAGGCTTCTGGTTGAAACTCAAGATCACAAAGTTGACAAGAGGGCCAGTAGTTCCGGGTTATTGGTCAGAGACCGATGTAACGAAAGCATAAGATAAAAATCACCCGTTTGTGGATGTATATATATATACCTACCAAGGGCATTTGAGACATGATGAACAACTACAATCTTTGTTTTATTTGAAATCAATCCTTTAAGCTGCTTAATGTCAGGAACTTCTTCTGTGGTCAGCTCAACAAATTTCAGAACGGCACCAGTTTTCTGAGCAACAAATTGCCAAGGGACTATAGCACTGTGATGTTCTGCAACAGAAAGTATGATCTGCAGGAAAAGGGTCGAGAAATGCATCAGCACTGCCTCCTTGTAAAAGCTTATCAAGAAAGTATCAAGAAGTGTTGACTACTAGCTTGGAAAGAAATAGCAAAGCCTACACCAGAGATCAAAAGGAAGTCAAAAGCTTCCTAATCATGGCACATATATATAAAAAAAAATTCAATCATAGTAGACCTAGGCGATCATGATTCTTAACACTTGCATCTCTCATGGGTTAGGAAATAGACAGATGCAACACTGCCTTAGTCACAATTTCCCAATAAAGCAGAATAGATTGATGTTTTCAAAATAACCAATAAGTTGTAGTTAACCTCTGTGAGATGTAGATAGAGTACCTTAATATTGGCAAGTGGGAAATTAGGCAGCTGAGATTTGGCAACGAATCTCAGCTGAAAGTGGGCAGATGAATGAATGTTTATCAGGAAAAACTAAAGATGGGACAGAACGCGTGAATATCTCATGACTAGCATGGCAAAATAAAACTGAAAATAAATACTCAGAGAAGAGTTTGGGCACGGTGTGCCTGTCTGAAAAGTTTTATCGAAATTTTGCTTTAAAAAAAGGGAAATTTTACTAATAGGGTACGTGTCGAGCTGAAATGTATCTCAGGAAGCATACGCCCTAAAGGCATGCAAACTATGGTGAAATCAACGAGTCAACCAAGCCCCTGTACAAATGATCCATACGACCAACAGAAAACTATCAAACCACACCGGAGGGACATACCTCATCACCCGATTTTATGTTTGAGAGGCCCCACGAATAAGCAACCAAGTTGATGGCTTCAGTTGCATTACGTGTAAACACGATTTCTCTAGGTTCTGATGCGTTGACGAATGCTGCAACTTTTACCCTTGCTTGCTCATATGCATCAGTAGCCTTTGAACTAGGCCAACAAATGAACTGTAAGAAAGCTGAAACGGACCTCAATTTTTTAAAATAAAAAATACAAAAAATCCATTAATAGATTAATTTATTGTTTAGACGGTTGCATCAACTATTAATGTCAGATTAAAAACAAAAATCGTGCTATTTTCATTTACATACTATATGGTAAAAACATTAGCTAAGGACTTTCTGAATAAAATTCCTTCTACACGCCTAAAGTCAATTGGATTCAACTGATTCCATCACTTTCATCTGTTCTCTGAAGAGAACTGCAGGCTATCGTACCTCAGATAATGGATGCCACGGTGAACATTTGAATTGTACGTCTCATAGTATTCACTCAGAGACTTCAATACAGCAAATGGTTTTTGAGAAGTTGCAGCGTTGTCCAAGTACACCAGTTTGAAATCGTTCACGTCCTGTATAATTTGCGCAATGGAATAGAAAGGATTGAAAACAGGTCGAGAAGGGAATGACATTTAATAATTACCCAAAAAAACGACCGTAATTATTAACTGGCAACACGAAATCTGCTGATAGAGCCCTTGAAAGATGGAAGACGATAAAAGCAAAAGAAAGAAGGGAAAACGAGAAGGGTTAAGGCTGTGATTTACTCATGGTACCTGGTGAAGAATGGGGAAGTCAGGTCTGACGAGATCTCCCAGCGAAGGCGACCCCGTTCTCTCCTGCGAGGAGGACAATGAAGGAGAAGAAGAAGCCGTGGAGGAGGACGTTGAGGAAGCGAAAGCGCTCAGTGGCTGTCTTCCCCTCCCCGCCCTGGGGCTCGTGTTGAGCGACCTGCGGTGGGGGAGCCTCTGGGAAACCAGAGGGAACACCAGGTCGGAAAGGGAGTGATGGGTGGACGTGGAAGGGATGTTGCGGACGAAGCCCATCCTCGGAGCGCGATCGCGGTCAACGTGGGGGCAGCGCCGGGAAAGCTACGGGACCAGACGGCGGCGGAGACTCCGGAGTGCCTCCCTGGAGCTCCAGACCCCGGCGGAGCGAGAGACAGCGGCACGTAGCAGAGTCCCGCAAACAAAATCCACCGAGGTAAGGCATCTGCCGTCTGTCCATAGATAATTATAAAATTATTATATTAACTTAAGTTTTATTTAACCTGCAGATGTAATAAATAACTAAATCATGAAATCAATGGATCCCCGAAAATTTTGGTGGGATTAAGACGAACAATAAATCCCCAGAATAGGGATTATTCTCTTAAATTTATATTTTTTTCTAATTGGATCAATCACTATGCCCATGCCTTCCAATCTCACCCCAAACCCGGAAAAGAAATTCGCAACGAAGCCCGAAGCCCGAAGCCAGCCTCAGAAACATAGATAGAGAGAGAGAGAGAGATGGAAGACCACATTAACAATCAATCAACAATCTCACAGACTTGGTGAAGAGCGAACGTGCCGAGAGACAGATAAAGAAAGAGAGAGAGAGAGAGAGAGAGAGAGAGAGAGGGGGACTACTGGTGGCGGAGGGGGTCGGCGGCGGCGTTGTTGAGGAGGAGGGTGGAGGGGCGAACGTAGGTGAAGCCGTTGAAGTTGCAGGAGCCGGCGACGGGGCTGGCGACGGGGGAGTCAGTGAGCGGCGCGCTGGTCCACCGCTCGTCGAAGTTGGCGACGCACTGCTTCCCCGACACGCTCGGCAGGAACCCCGGCGATATCTCCCTCGCTTCCAGCCGCTTCCAGCTCATCCCCTTGAACCACCGGTGGCCCTTTATCTCCCCGCTCCCCAGCCGCCTCCCCGGCTCCTTCTGCAGCAGCTGCACCCAGTCCACACACACATCCACATATATCAACATAGCTAGATAGATTTGATAGATAGCTAGAGAGAGAGAGGGAGAGGATGTTCGAGGACTTACCCCTTTGAGCAAGGAGTGAGCTTCGCTGGAGAGATAGCCGGGAAGCTTTATTTTCTCCTTGATGATCTTCTGCTGAATCTTCTCTCGGTTTCCGCCGCAGAAAGGTGGCTGCAAAAGTTCGGAGGAACAATCTTAGCGCAAGTAACGATCTTGAGCCGATTGGTTATATGCTCCGTGCCAACATGGGGAGCCATGGCCGGTGCTTCACCATGAGCGCAGCCACAGCCCATTTCCAGTCCACACAAACTCCTCTCTCTCTCTCTCTCTCTCTCTCTCTCTCTCTCTCTCTCTCTCCCTCTCTACATATACACACGATTCAACTGACCTTTCCAGTGAGCATCTCGAACAGCAAGATCCCCACGCTCCACCAATCGGCCGCCTTGTCGTGGCCCTTCCCGAGAACAATCTCAGGCGCCATGTACTCCACCGTCCCGCACAGGGAGTTGGATCTCGTGTTCTCCTCGAATTCCTTCGCCAGGCCGAAATCAGTCAGCATAGCCTGGACGCCACAAAACAGGAAAATTAGACCAAAAAAGGAAGTGGGTAGGATACTTTCCATACCAAAATAGGAAAAAAAGGACAGTTTTCTTACGTGCCCATCAGCGTCGAGAAGGATGTTCTCGGGCTTTAGGTCCCTGTGCATTATCCCATTGGCGTGAAGATGAGAGACGGCGGACACGATCTCTGCCGTGTAGATACGTGCCAGATCCTCGCTGCAAGTTAATTATCGGAACGCTAATTAATAAATGCCCCTCTTTATGCCGAAGGGTTCTTCGGATCTACCTGAACATCACGTGGCGATAAAGCTGAAAGAACAGGTGCCCACCATTTATGAAGTCAAGCACGAGGTAGAGCCTGTACTTTGTCTGGCGAAAAACAAACTGGTTGTCATATAAGAACAAGATCCCACACTCATATGAACAATCTTTTAGAGGAATATTTACACTGACACGGCGTTTATCATGATTATCCCCCCCCCCAGAATCCCCCCAGAAGAGAGTGAGTGTGACAACTAAACAAGGAAAGTTTTAAAAGGAGGTCGATCATCCATAGAAACAAGGAGTAGATTCTATCTTAGATTGAATTCTACCTCAGATCATGTGAGGATCGAAATGATTTCCGAGAAAAAGGCTTTTTTTTCGCTTATTCACTTCTTTGTCACTTGTGGGAAGTTTTCAGGGGTCTTCTCATCCTAGAACAGAAGATCATTAATGGTAACCAGGGAAAATTTCTTATGATGTCCGTTTTCTTTTATTTACTCTCGCATTCCTACTTGGCGAACGTTAACCGACCATTTCTTTAAGCAAGGAAATAAGAAGTAAATTGTCCCTTGCCCCCGGCTACAGCTTGAGATGGATTCATGCATACTAGGATAAATTTGGTCGCATCTACCAACTGCGGGCAGATAATAAGTTCAAAATCACCCAGGAAAACTGGTCTAGCTCAGTTTCTAAATCTAAAACTTCCTAAAATTACACCCAGTTTGTTTTTCTGTGTATTGTATCATGCATTATAAAAAAGCAATAAGAACGTGCTCACTTATTTAACAAATGTAGAGCCTCTGGAGGCGTTTCCGTTAATGCCAAGGAAACCATATCTCGATGATTTTGACACAAAATAAGATAAACAGATATTTAGGTGGCTAAAGAGAAGCATTGTGGGACATCAGGAGATTTTATTACAAAAAGCAGCAGACAAAACCGTCGACTAAAGGTATCATCCATTCTTATAGTGGATTTCCTTTCTACCAACCACAAAGCTTTGATAAAATTAGTGGCAGAATTAGATTGTGAGATCATGCAAATGTCTGCAAGCCTCATGCTCTTATTGAGGCCTTGTATTACTTTGCACATAAATTTTATTTTATCTTCCATACGAAGTTTTGAGTTGATAAAAAACTGTGGGCCTCCAGTTTCATGAAAAAACAACTCGGTATACACAGCTTGGTGCTTTGAACAGGAAAATTAGACATTACGTACCTGGAACGAGTACCTGAGTTGAACAATGAAAGGGTGGTCAACTTTTGTTAAGATATCTCTTTCTGCTTTCATGTACTCAGCGTGGTTCTTCTCCATAATTTTATCCTTCCTCATAACCTTCATGGCATATATTTCCGAACTCCCCTTCTTCCTCACCTGGAAAACCTTTCCAAATGCACCTTGTCCAACAAGCTTCAAAACCTCAAAGTCCTCAAGCCCCACACCTTCAACTTTATCTGGGTTGACATCTTCTTTGAATAAGCTTTCCTCACTTTCAACATTTGACTGTTTCTCGGCCTCTACTTCTGACTCACCCGAGTCGCACTCTAGAAGCTTCAAGGCATTCTCCGTCTCATGTATTGTGAGCTTAGTGAGCCGCAGCAGTTGATTTACACAAGATGTGGGACCCACTAAAGAATGAGATCGGTTTTGAATCACCTCTGGATCATCATAGACAATTCCATTTAAATCTGACGAAGGAATTGAATTTGCTGCATCCACTTCAATAGAGTGTTGTAGAGGAGCAGGGCCAAATACATCAGAAAAATCAAACTCAACGAGATCCGATGAAACAACATCAGGGAGCTGGAGTGGAAGAAGCAAATGCTTGTTCAGAGTTTTGGGATCATGAGTCTGTGACAATCTCGAGATCCTGGAAGAAACCATCTTTTAGAATGTTGAAAAGATGGACAGATCTTAATCAGCTGCCAGATACTGCAAAGGCTAAGGCTGAATCCCTTCAACTGGACCCAAAACACAGACTGACGAAGATGGGTTCCTGATGATGGCCTTGAATAGCTGAAAATTTACGTAGTTGACCAGCGCCCCCAGAAAGCCAGGGAGAAAGCAAACCAAAGTCCAAAACAAGTCGTCCTTGTTTCCCGATTTACAGGAAACAGCAGGTGCCACGATACTTTTTGAATTCATGAAGAACAAAGTGCTCACAACTGCATTACCAAGGGCGGGAAATAAAGTTAGAGGTGAAGAAGAATATCAAAACTGAATAGTTATCACCTTTGTGACAGAAGGCAGGAGTGGAAAACATGATAAATAATAAAATGAATTATCGATGCATGGGAGTTATTCCTCGACGCTTAACAAGCATAAGATTGTCACGTCAGGACGTTCCCGTCCCCCACCCAAAAACGGGAAATAAACAGGCGTATCAAACAAGTACCAAAGTGAGAAATCAGTTAAATTAAAAGGATTTCATGGGTTCACTAGTTCTGTATCGCAAGAAATGCGAACGGGGCTAAGAATCAGCGCGTCTAACTTGAAAAAGAGGGGCCACAAGGATGGTGCATTGACTGTACAGGGATGAGAATAGGCCTCAAAAACACAATCTGCTTATTGGAAAGCCCTAATTAAACAAACCGTGAGAAAGAAGCCAGGAAAAGGAAAATAATAGGAGGGCAAAAGCAACAAACAACGAGAAAATTCCTGGCCACAAGCCGATTCGGAATAATAGAGAAAAATACTCCAAGGAATTGCAAAAAACGTACTCATCTATATCAAGAACACGAGATCTGGAACCCACGTAACACAAAAACCCGGCCAGATCTCACGGCTTCCGGCGAGCCGCAAACAGGAGACAGAGAGAGGAAGGAAGACTCAACAAATCAGGCGTTCGCCGCGAACCTTTTTCTGTTCTCAGGGGGACGCCGCAGGGATCTCCTTCCAGGGGGGACCTCGCCGTCGATCTCTCGATCTGGACTCGGAAAATTCCGCCTCCTGTCCTCATAACCTCTCTCTGGGGTAGGCCGTGTACCCTTTTCGCCACGTGTCAATCTTCCATTCGCCCGCACGAACATCCAAATCGTGGCGGAGGTTGCCTACCACAAGGGAATATGCTCTTCGCTAGGGTGCCTGGTGCCTCACGTCTCCCTTAGGACCATTATACCCTCGTTATATTACCATATCTACCCTCTAGCCCTTTATCCAAATACTATTATGAAATACCCCTTAATTATTATTCTGTCTTATGTGATTTTATTCAAATACTTTTTGAATATCACCGACTGTCAAACTTATAGAGTATAATATAGTATATAATTATATTTGTTTATAACGGATGGACGGGCCTGGGCTGTTGGGCCCATCAAGGCCCGTTATCTTTATACGGGCCAAATTCAAGGTAGCTCATTTAGGCCCAATGATCCTAGCTTAGCTGGATGACAGCCAGATCCTTGGGGCCTCATTAATATCTGGGGTGTTTACTATTGTGCCCCTGTGAAGATTTCCGATTTGAAAAAAACCCCTCTATTTAAGAATGGTAAACCCATCAGGATAATTTAAAAAGTAAAATATTTAGTAAATCACGGAAACAAGGGGACTTTTGTCCTATTGCAGGACATGCAGGGCCTTAAAACTAATAAACCAGATTATTGTGTGGACCAGAACGACTTAACGCGTGGCAGGACGGTAGAATGGCTTCGTTTTTCTCATGGCGATGGTGACAGTCTGGGCTCTTATTTTCTGGTCGGTCAATGCGGTGGTGTCGGATGGAATCGACGGTCACCCTATGGCGTTGAGATCTGGGGCTCAGAAGAAGACACGTGGAACTCGGCTTCTTTGACTCTTTCGCTTCCCGCCGAAGGACCAATGTCTCAGCCAATTTCGGTCGTCGGGGAGGAGGGGGTGCACGCGGTTTGACTTGGCCAACGACGATGATTAAAAAATCTTCTCCACCTTTCTCTGACCGTCTTCGTCCCCGTCAGATGATGGACTGCGGATGGCAAGAGGAAGAAGGGAAGAAAGATAGAGACAGAGACAGAGGGAGGAGAGAGGATTTGGAGAAGCTTCCGACCTTAGTGGTGGCCCTGGTTCCGCTCCGTTTCTCCACCTTTCTCCTCTGAGTGGACCAGCGATCGCCCTAACCAGACGCCGTGGGGAGCAGAGAAAGAAGTCACATCCATAGGTCAGCCTCTCTCTCTCTCTCTCTCTCTCTCTCTCTCTCTCTCTCTCTCTCTCCAACTATTCGTGGTTGCGCAGTGTAATCAATGAACAGGTTATTAAAATATAAATTCTCTCCGTATAGATGCTGTAGACGGTCCTCTCTCTCTCTCTCTCTCTCTCTCTCTCACTGTATGTGCGGTCTCATCAGTTGTTTTAGCAGGCGTAGACTCCAGGCTAGATAAGCATCGTCAAACTGAGACAATTTCGAGAGTTCCTTTCCTGTATTTCGATCCAGTTTTTCTCCATCTTCTGGCGCTCGATTCTCGGAGCATCGAACAGGTTCCGTCGGTGAGGTACGCCTGTTTCCGCTGTTTCTCTCTGGTTCTTGTTTTTGCCCCCTCTCATCCACCGGATTCTAGATGGAGTTCGTCGTTTCTGTTCCTTTCTGAGTCATCCACCTCCCGCCTCCAAGAATTTGACGCCGGTAGATGCAACAACGAAGGTCCTGTGCGAGATCTGTTGCATCGCTTCGACGATTAACGGTGTTTCGTGCCAGGAAGGAGATCGAACCGGATTAGAGCATGTTGTAGGAAGGGATTTGAATTTGATTTGACCGTCCTACCCACTGGACATCGCCTTGTTAGTGCCAAATCACATCTCCTCAGAAGACTGAATAGATTTGCTCATAATTACTTCAGCCTGATTCGCGAAACGAACCTCTAGATGAAGTATCAATTTCCTCGGACCACAGGATCCTTCAATCTTAATTCGCAGAACATATTCGATCCGAATCTGACCTTAATTCCATGCGTCTGTCCTTCCCCCCGGATTCAGACCTCAGAAGCATCAAACCGAACGATGCCAAAATTCTCCGGAATCAATCAACAGTCACCTTCTCAGTTCTTCAGATTTCTTTTTGCTCGATTGATGCTGTACACGAAATGCCGCGATCTTTTCTGTATTCGTCTGTTCTACGGCGATCCATGCCTGAACTCCTCCAACCGCAGGGCCGGAGAACGCAAACCCTCGCGACAGGAGATTGCCTCCGGTTATCATCATGAAAATTAAATTCTCCAATTTGTCCGCGAAGGATCGGTCGAGTTGGCGGTCGCGGCGCCGTTGAGATCCCCCACGGCGGCCATGGCCAGCGAGGCCTCCAGGGAGCGTTACGTCAAGTGCCCCCGGTGCCGCAGCATCCTGCCGGAGAGCCCCGACCTCCACCTGTATAAATGCGGCGGATGTGGGATAGTCTTACAAGGTATATACAGATAGACATAAGTTTCTATGCCCTCTGATTTCGCCAAATTTGATAAACAATTTTGACGAACCATCCGTCAAATCCACAGCCAAAAATCGTCAAGCTAAGAAGGGGAAGGAAATCGTCCATGGTGGCTCCGAAAACGGAGCACCGCCTGCTCTTCCCTCTGCAGATTCCTCTGAGAGTTCTCCGCCCTCGAGCTCCGTGGTCAGCAGCATCCACAGGGAGGATGATTCTCCAAAAGACGCAGCAAACGAGGGGATCGCAGCGGCCTCTGATCAAGAGATTAAGAAGGAAGATGCTTGCTCCGACGGACACAGATCTGGCAAGAAGAAGGACCCGGTCAATGAAAGCCTTGGAGGTGTACTCAGCGTCTCCTCCGGCGATGAAGTCCCCGGCAGCCATGAGCAATCCACGGCAACTTCGTCGATTCCCTCTCCGGCAGCCGTGACCAATCCCAAGAAGGAAAGTTTCTCAGGCGATGGCGAAAGGGAAGACAAAAGGGAGAAGAAGGTGGTGGACCAGTTGAGAATCTTTCCGGGGGGTTCTTTGTCGGATGGAAGATTTGGGCAGAGACAGAGCTCGACCGGGGACGGCGGAGCTTCTTCGGAGATTGAGGACTTCCACTCGGCAAGGATGACGCTGGGGAGCGCCGGTGTGTCCAGGTCCGGGTCGAAGAACTCCACATTCTTGGGAGATTTACCGATGAAGAGCTGGCAGGGAAGTCAACCGAGATACAGGAACCCCGAAAGCGACCGTAGTGTGCTGCTGAGAGGGCTGGAGCTCCTGGGAGATCGCCTTGCCGGCCCTTACAGACAAGAAGTCAACGGAAGGCCCCGTCATGTCGGCGGCAGCCGGCAGACTTCGGTCAGCGGCTATAGCTCTGAAATTACCAGCTCGGGGAGTAGAGCAGCCATGGCGGAGAGGTACCTCTCTCAGGGATCTCCCTCCTCAGGGTTGACCAGCGGATCCAACTCCATCCATGGCTCCTTCGGGAAGAGACGGCAGCACCACCAGAAACGCCATTGCAGGCCAATCTCCGGCGGCGCCCCATTCGTCCTCTGCAACTTCTGCATGCGACTCCTCCAGCTCCCCGTTGACTTCCTGGTCTCCAGAGGAAGACGCCACAAGCTCAGGTGCGGAAGTTGCTCCCAGGTCCTCGTCTTCTTCTTCCACGGCGGCGGCCACATCCAGGAGGAGGAACCCGTCTCCTTCTCCGACGAGTTTGGCCCGCCGGTGAGCAAGAGCTACTCCACCGACGGCGAGCCGCCGGCGGAGCGGCGGCGTGGGAAGCAGCAAGAGGGGTTCCCCCTCCACCGCCTCATGGGGTACCCTTCGGCCCGCGACGTGATCTGCCAGCCCTGCGAGGAGGACGACAACAGGTACGACCTCTACGATTCCTACGACGAGGCACACTTTCACGAGGGGGGGATCAGCCGATCTCCCGAGGAAGAAGACGACGAAGCGCAGAGGGAGTTCAGAGAAGAGAAGAAGACCTGGGCGGACGATAAGAAAGCGGAGGGGCTGCTCATCAAGAGGCCATCCCTCCCCTCCGTGGGCTGAATGATCCATCCTAAATTTAGACCATTTACCCCACATAATTTCTATACACACAAATGTAGATGGATAAATATGTTGAATTTTTTTTTGGTGTTCGGATATATGATTTTCTTTTTTTTTTCTCCCCTTGATTTGGTATCTGTGTGAAGAGTTATTAGAAAAATAGATAATTACCATTTGCGTATATTTTGATTCCCATTTCAGCGAAAAATAATATATTTTCCGTGCAGTTCTCGCGGTGCTCGAGCGATTAATCTTTGACTAAGGAAATAATATTAGATTCGTATGGCACTTTATATAAAAAAATAATTATATCTTCATCGGCGATGGGCCCGAGGAAGATGGACGTGGGTCCCACAGCTTCCACGTGCACAGAACGTGGCGCCACCTTGCTCTGCCGCCATCATCATCACTCTCTCCCTGAAGAAACTTAAATAAACCCCGAGTCCAACGGTCAGGAGACAGAGTCTGAGCTTCCAGGAATGCCCACGACCCCCACTCCACCATCCATAGCCGTTGTCTATCCCTTCCCCTCCCGCCGTTCAAATTCAAAACCCCTTCGTCCTCCCTGTACTCCGTCCTCCGCTTCATCTCCCCAAACCAGCAGCAAGCAGATCCTCCCTGAGGAAGGATGGGTTCTCCGGCGATCGGGATCCTCAGATCCCGCCACCGTTCTCACCGGAGGCCGCTGCAGCCGAAGAACACGCCATCGGAGCCCCACCGGAGCAGCGGGGGAGTCAAGCGCGGGCAGTCTCCGAGGACGATCCAGTCCTCGCCGGAGGATGCGATCGGCGGGAAGGAGAACCGGCCGCAGGAGCTTTCGGCGGGGATCGATCCGGCGGACACGTCGCTGGGGAAGGAGCTGGTGGCGGTCCGGCGGCGGAGGGAGAGGATCAGGTCCGAGAGGGAGAGGACAGAGAAGCTGCTCATAGAGAGGAGTCGGATGTTGGACACGGCGATGAGAAAGGCGGAGGATAGATGGGAGGCACAGCTGAAGATGGAGGCGGAGCTCAGACAGGTGATCAGGCTGCGGGAACTCGGTCCATCACCTTCGGTAAGACGCCGACCTCCATGGTTATTTCCTTCAATCGCTCTGATCAGGAGGAACTAAGACTTTCCCCAATCCCCTCAGGTTTTCCCATCTTTGAGATCTCTCAGACATCGAGCATTGGAGGCGCGGACAGGAGATGTTACTCCTCAGGCAAGCAACCTCAATTTCTTCTCCACATTTCTTGGAGATACAGAACTAGAGATCTTTGGCACTGTGAGATTATCTGGATATCCAGATACCTTTCCAGGCGTGCGGCTCAGAGCTCCTTTTCCCTCGTGTGATCCTCCTTGCAGGTAATGAGCAGGGTGAGAGACGACGGAGAGTCTCCGGGAAGCGACTATCTAGAAGTGAAGAAGAGCTCAGGGGAAGAACATTCTCCGAGCATCGACTCGTGAGGGCATCCCGGCGAGGATCGTTGCAGAAGGTCTGGACATCTGGTCGACCCTCTCCCTCCCTCTCTCTCACACCTGCGGTGTATCTATTTTCCATTTTCTCCATTGTAAACGTCTTCGGTGTGGAAGATCGGGAAGAAGAATCGGATGCTCGATCCTCTGATTATAATGGAACCCAGAAATATTCGAAATCGATTGTCGCCATCCCCATGAACGCGCTGACCCAGATTTATCTCAACCACAGAGAAATCGACCATAGCGGATCCAGTCTGAGGGAAGATTCCGATCCTTGTCTTGATGAGCCCATCACAGGCCGGGAGAAGAAGAAGACGAAGAAAAAAGGAAGGGAAGAAGAAAGTAATGCCGCCTTCACCGGTCTGGTTGTAATCTTCTCAGGTCAGAATAATCACGATGTATATATCAAATCCAAAACAACATGCAAGTCAACCCCAGTTGATATCTGCACCAGTTGACCGTGATGACGAATTCAGAATTTTGATGGTCATCCCTTTTCCAAATTTTTTGACGTCAAAAGGAACGGAGGCGGCGCGCGAATTTCTTCTCGCTTCTCTCTCTCTCTCCCCTTCGCCGGGAGTTTTTTTTGGGACCCACCTCATCATAAACGACGACAAACTCGGATCCGAGCTAGTCCGGGCCGTTGACTTCAAACTAGCAACCGATACATCTCTATATGTTTCCGCAGAGTGAACGCCCCCCCGGAAACACCCGTCAGATCCACACGGCGAGAGAGAACATAACCGAGCCGAATGGGCCGGGGGCTGTCGGGTCAATCTACGGCGGCCGATCCGCGGTCCAATCATCATCAGAGCTAAATAGAGAGAGACAAATAGAGAGAGAAGTAGAGAGAGAGAGAGAGAGAGAAGAGGGAAAAGGGAAGAGGAGATCAGCAGAACTTCCAGTGGTTGTTGCACTCGACGCAGGTGACGAAGGTGGTCATAGGCTCGTCGGCGCTACGGGTCTGCAGCTGGTAGTAGGTGGTCTTCCTCTTGCCGCAGCGGCCGCACTTGAACTGATCGGTGGTGGCCTTAGCGGGCGCTCCTCTCTCGCATTCAAAGATCGCCTTATCCTTTATCTGCTGGTTCTGCCGCTTCCTGTCGTCGCTGGCCATCTCCTCCGGTGCCATCCCCACCAGCTCCGCCGGGGTGACCTCCCCCAGCAGCACCCGCCGCCGCAAGTCCGGGTTCTTCGGGTCCCTCATGTTGAACAGGATTGACCTGTACCGGGCCTTGTGCGCCCCCGTTGACTTCCCCAGCTTCTCGAACATGTGGCACTCAACCCCCACGGCCACCCGGATCGGATCATGCGCCGCCGCCTCGGTCTTCAATTCCTCAGCCACCTCGCCGGGGACCCTCGCCAGCGCCTCTGCCACCATCTCCCGGAACTTGTCCCGCACATCGTCATTGCACTTCACCATGGAGGAGAGCTTCGGCGGTGGTGGCGGCAGCTTCTCCTCCCGGGTGGCGGCTCTGGTTCCGTTGTTCACTCTCTCAGAAACCCCGTTCTTCATCTCAATGAATTCTCGAGAAATCCTCTCAGGTTTCAGAGATTCGCCGCTGTTCTGGACGGCGGCGGATTTGTTGGGCTTTACTCCGGCAGCGGCCTTCAGCGGCAGCGACGGCTCCCCCGGAGGGTTGCTCTTCTTGCTCTTGTTCGCCGCTTCCTCGAGGACCAAGTCCTTCCAATGCTGGCGGAGCTCCGAAGCCGCTGTCTGGATCTTCTTCTGAGGGTGCTTCGTGAGGCAGAGGATTCCTTTACCCACCTGCACGGATAATTAATGCTGGTTACGAAGGTGCAGCCACATATGATGAAATCAACCGATTTAAGCAGAGATTGCCTCGCATTTTCCTTCTGGACTGAAGAGTTCAAGAAAAAAATGCAGTGCGTATAATTTCTTCAGGAATCATTCGGAAATGATTTTTGCAGACAAAAAATGCCAAGTAACATGAAGCCCAAGAACATAAATAGAATAAAACAGAGGGAATGAGCCCAGATTTTTGTTCCGATTATGCTGATCAGAACCCCCAGCAAGGACATTGGAAGCCTGAGAAAGCTGGGCACTAGCTATAAAATTGAGGCATATTCAACTGAGGGATGCAATGTTTTCAAGCAATTCGTATCCAACCAAGAGAACTAGACAACAGTCAGCTGAAAGTGAGCTTCTAAATCCATTGTGTTCAACAACAAAATGAAGACGGCCGAAACTGGAATAGGTAAAGATTATGATGCATTCAGATAATATCAGTCGCAGAAAAAAATCCCGAGCCTGGAAAGGATTATTTTTTTATGCATTGAAAAACATTGTCAGCAGGGGAACATAATCCTGACCATTCAGACTCGCGCAATGTACCGTCCTAGTGAGAGGGAACATACATGGGTTTTCACCCCCATCGATCAGAATAATGGAATTTTTTTCCTTAAAACCAGAAGAGTTGAAAAACGATATGATGAAGAGGTTCCTTAGGTATTTCACATTCTCAAACGTGATTAGGCTATGATGAAGAGGCCTTGAATTTCCTGTATAGTATCAGGAGTGAACTAATTTACAAGATCACAGATGGACCACAACATATTAAAAGAAAAAATAGCAAAAATAACATCATTGAACTAGCGCCACCATTTTAATAAATGCAAGGACGAACTCGAAAGGAGAAGCAATGAAAGCGGCAGACAGGATCCAAAAATTTGGACTAATAAAGAATTACTGGGGATAATGAAAAAAACAATGCATAATGTGTCAAATTATAGTTCGTGCCTTAGTATTTTTCCTGTGATGGTGTGAAACTACAACCGCACCCCAATGAAGGACATGCGGATCTGGAATGGATGCTTATATATTTTGCAAAGGTGCACGTATGTCAGAAAGTCCACGAGCGAGAGAGAGAGAGAGAGAGAGAGAGAGAGAGAGAGAGAGAGAGAGAGAGAGAGAGAGTTTAAAATGCTAATTTAGGCAACAGGGTTTAGATGGCTTTGAATCCATAGCCACGCATACCACTTAATGGCAGTTAAACTGAGAGGCAAAGACTATGAAAAGTCTCTTATACAGTATGAAATTCCATGCCTCCGATCGTTTTAAGAAAGTTTCATGCCAGCATGTTACCTAATAGCAACAAAAATTTAATTCTGATAATGCAGAAATATGAACTCCCATATCTTAGAATTTCTTAAATTATGGAAGAAACAAAGATATAATGAAACAAAATCAATTTAAAAAAAATTCTAAAGAGCTGATGTAGTGGATTTAGGACGGATAAAGTGGCATTCAATCCACAAAGTCCTCACGTAAGCTTCAAGCAGTTATAATGATCCCTCAACCAATAAGATCCTTTGAATATTACTCCATTTTTTCACATAACTTCATCGTAACCAAATCCTCCTGAAACTCTTTCTCCATTAGCATGTTCCCAAATGTTCTCGTCTTCCTTAGAAGGAAGACCCTGTTATGTATCATCGGATGCTTTTGGCTTTCCTCCTCGTAACTTTTTAATTTGCTTGCCCAGTGGAATCATACGTCACCTCGTGTATTCTACAAGTTTGATACTTTAGATGAAACTTTTTTACAAAAATGGCGCCTCAAGTTCGCTGGAATAGCTTGGTAAGGACGTAACAGAAATGCAGAATGATCAATAAAAGTTTCGGAAACTTTTTTAAGCTATAACTACGTTCGTGCATTTAATCAGGACTTGAAGCTGAATTTCCAGCAACACCAGGCATGAGGAAGTTTAGAGACAGAGGAAGGATCTATCTGTCCAAGGAGTATTTTATTTGCATCATCTATGCTCTGTTATCAAGAACTATAATCATGCAAAGCTAAACCAAAAAGGGATTAGATGTAAAGTGGATTTTCTACGAATTCCTACACAAGATTCTCTAGCACGGAAACTGATATCAAAACTCTGAATTTTCCCCAAACTCACAAGGTAGATTTCACTAGGCTGCATGCAGCGTGAGCATCCCATTATTATAAAATACATCCCGAAGGGCAGAAATCCGAGAAGGCAAAGGCAACCACAACGGTTTCGGCATATGGATTTGTAACCATCATAGCATGCAATGGAAAGTAAACTTATTTAGGACGTACCAAATTTCCACTGATGGCAACCCAAAGAATACAACAGAAGAAATAACTACAGTCACAAAGCCCTTCGTCATATCTGATGCCTGAAGCACTAGAGTATGATCCATCACAAACGAGGAAAGAGACGTTACTAAATTTTAATGACATGCATCCAGCATAACCCGAAAAAACAACCAGAAGACCCCTCGCGAATGAATTTCGAAGAAAAACACAGATATACCGTAGTCTAATCGAGAATTAAAAGCATTAAACATGACAGACGAGTCTTCAGAAGGGGATAGAAAGAAAGAAAGAAAGAGAGGGAGAGAGACAGAGGGACAGGGATGATAACGGCCTACTTTCGTGGCGACGAGCTCCTTCGTCGTCAATGGCAGCTTCTTCAGTTGCTTAAGCGCATCCAAACAGCGGGAGACCTCCGACGAACCGCCGTCCACCGCCGCAGCATCTCCCGCCTTCTTTGCAACCGCGAAAACCTCCAGAATCTCCTTCTCCATTGTCCCCCAGATCCGGCCCGCCCCACACCAATCTCTCTGAAGAAATCAGAACAAACGAGGGACGAGGATGGATCCCCGATAAATAAAATAAATAAAAAAAGCCAGCCGGCCGAATCCGAAGGGGGAATCAACGGAAACCCTACCTGGGATAAAGGAGAAACAGATGTCGCGGCACCTCGGGTCGCAGTAGCGACGTTTCCTCTGATCGGACTTCTTCCGCCGCTCCCGTAGGGCTCGAACAGGCTACGATTTATCTGGGCCATCCATTTCCTCTCTTCTCCTAATCCATGGGCCCAGATGACCAACAAGCGTCCGACCTTCGGTCCAGACAACGCACGTGTCAACCCGCCGCTCTTCTCTGGAAAGCCAAAGAGAGACCAACCGAAGCTGCTACCACCGCACTCCTAACAAAAATATATAAATACGAATATTATAAATACCCCATGAAACTTAGCTTTTTATAAAATTTAATATATATTTGTATTAAATAATAATATCTCAACATTCGAAAAGTAATTAATATTAGACCAATCAATGGAGTCAACGACCCTGTAAATATCTACAGCTTTATCCAGGATTATGCTACATAATAAAGAACATTAACGACTGAAATCATATAAATTAATTATTATTAAGCCACATTAACTACAAAATTTTTAATGAAATATCATTATTCATTATTTAAACTTGTATGGAAAAAAATTATTAAATGGATATCTATCAATAATAATCTACCAGTGGACTTTAGGAAGGTCAACTCTCCAAAACGTGCCCTTTATGACAAATAGCCCCGAACGGGCGACTAGGTGGACAGAAGTCAATGCGTTGACGTTAAAGGGGTGAACAAGGCCGTGTCTCCTCCTACCCCCCTCCTCTTTAGTTGCAGGTGTGGAGTCCTCGTGGGCTTCTCACTAAACCAGACAAACCAGCCGTCAGAACCCACAACAGAAGTCAGAGAACCAGGTTCTTTCCTGCAACTATCACATTCACCGGCCCATAGATTTCTCAGAAAGAAGAAAAGAAGATGCAGAGGGTGGGGTGGGCAGGGGCGAACCCGCCGCCATCGCCATTATCTTCTACCGTGGAACCCACTATCCTCGGTTTCTATAAACAGATCGGGAGAGGTAAGCCCCCTGATCTCCTCTCTACAGGCCAGCGATGGAGGTCGGCGACTACTTCCTGGATCTCATTCTGGTGCCCCTGAGTATCTCCCTCACGGCGGGCTACCACGCCTACGTCTATCGGAGCCTCTCCTCCGGGCGGCGCCGCCCCCTCGCCGCCGTCAAGATCGCTGTTCTGAGGAGGGCATGGTTCAGCGCTGTCGTAAAGGTTTGAGGGAGAGATCATACCATAGCTGCGGCCATTCCGGCGGTGCAGCCGGGTTCCTCGCTTTCTCTGACCGCCGGGGTAATTGCAGGACGACAGTAAGAAGGGCATGCTGGGGCTGCAGAGCCTGAGGAACTCCCTGATGGTGGCGATACTCTCGGCGACTATGGCGATCGTCCTCAACACCGCGCTGGCGGCGCTCTGCAACAACGCGCTCAAGGCGGCGGCGCTGCTGCGGCACGCGCGGGCGTTCGGAGGGCAGTCAGGGACGCTGCTGGTGCACAAGTACGCGGTGGCGTCGATGATGCTGATGCTCAGCTTCCTCTGCAGCTCTGCCGCCTCCGGATGCATGATCGAGGGTGGGTTTCAAGTCAACGTGTCGGGGGTCGCCTTCAACGAGCACGCACGTTTGACTTTGGAGAGGGCGTGGCTGCTGGCAGCGGTGGGGAACCGGGTCCTCCTTGTGTCGGCGTCGATGTTGACTTGGTTGCTGGGGTCGGTGCCCTTGGTAGTCTCGTCGGCGGCGCTCGTCTTGATGCTCTACCAGATTGACTTCCCCGTCGTGGTGCCGCCAGAGATCCAAATGCTTGAATCAGATTATCCTTAAACAAGCAAAATCGACGATGGGTTGACTGTGATTTATATGACACTCGAGGAAAATCATAGGGCACAAAAAATTTCATGTGCTAATTAACACACAATCCCTCCGAAAAAGTCAACCACCACGAACGAGTCGATCACCCATGACATGAACTCAATAATTCGAGTCGACGGAGAACTGAAACCTAAGGTGGCGGAAGGTTTTAAGGGCAAAATTCAACAAAAGCTCTGGAAAAACTATATTTTCTAATTACCCAACTTAAATTATGTTGTCGAAATTAACCGATCCGGTTCTTGGTGCGTGAAAAACGATTATGCGTAAATATGAAAATTTTCAGGAGGATTTATTTAAAATAAATCGTCATTTTTTCCCCTGATTCCTTGGCGCCTAGGATAATCAAGCACCGTGAAGCAAGAAGGGCAGTTGAAGAACAGATCGTACAACTTGGTAAATGAGACGATCGAATATGGACTGCCTTTGAGGAAAATAAACAGACGTAAACCCTGATACTCCGTAATCTACCGAGTGAGATTACACAATGGGAGCCTCAGACAGACAAATTTTTTCTTCATGATGTGAAAAATCAGACGGTATATGGTCCTCATAGGCTCTTGAAGAACGAACAATTATCAAAAGACAGCAACCCAAATTAAAACGAAGGGAAAATGGGAGTATGATCGCACGTAACGGCTCCATGGATTGTCTGAAGATTATATCCACGGGTTCCTATCAGGATGTGAAGCGGTTTGATCTTCGCCCAATCGTAGCATCACCAGTCATGGCGTTCGAGCTGCAGGTGGACGCGGCTTGGGCAAGAAATTCCTGTGAAAGAGAGCAGACGGAAGAGGTCTCGCGACATTTCCTCTTCTACTCGCCTTCTAGGTCTGAAATCTGCGTCGTGTCATACGGCACTTCCTATCAATGGTCTTGGTTCTTCACTAGATGTGACAAGAGCTCCGACAGGCAATCATCTCAGGGAAAGAACATCTGCGGTAGGTGGCTGTAACACGAACGGCAGTAAATATGACTGAACAACCAATGAAATAAAGGCATAGATCGAAGATGATCCCCCGCTTGGATAATTTCACCCAAAGAAAGATGAAGAAACCAAAACATGATGATAAATGTTAGGGTTAGGCTTACGGATGGACGAACAGGAGACTACAATGACGATGAATCCTCAGAAGAGAAGAGCGGTGCGGATAGCTGCTGAGAGGCAATCAGATCGTCCCAACTCATCTGAGATGAATAAGACTGCTGCTGCATCGGCACCATCCCTTCATATTACCAAGGTCACCCTGCAGGGGCAGACCCTCGCACCAACACACCACGCACATCGGATAGGCGTGGCATGGTGGGGGTGCACGACGTCACGGCGTGAAAGCACGGTGGCACAGTGTGTGCACCCGATGACATGGTGCTGGCACAGGATGGGATAATACGTGCGCATGACGGCACAACACATGCGCATGGTGGTATGGAAGGGGTGCATGGCAGAATGGCACGTACACAAGGTGGCGAGACACAGGCACAAGAAGACATGGTATGGATACCAAAGACTAGGGAGAAAAGTGATGTTGCTAGTGTGACATCATTCAATGATTAGATAGTTAACTACCATAAGGATCATGTCTATATAGATGGACCTAGACCCCCATGTATCGACCACCTTTGAATTATCAAGTTAACCTCTCTGGTCACATTAGGTTGGTTGGGGTCCAACACATAAGTATTGCATGAGGCACTCAACATCCTTATTATAGTGGTATCATAGCCTTGAAAAGGTTATACCCCTTCTACCCTTGTTTTTTTTTCATTGTAGATAGAGAGATGGAGACAAAGGAAAGTCAGGGTGGTGTGAGTGGCACCCATGGGAAAATAATTACTTGATTAGAAGAGCAGCAAGAGGCAATAGTGAGATTTTTGGAGGCACTTTCCAACTAGATAAAAGAGGGGACTGATGCATTATGTGAGTAGATAAAGGCTCAGACAACAACAATGGAGGAACAAACCTGAGGGACAACAACAACAGTTGAGATCCTATCCGATCAAATGGATGAAAAGCTCACATCCTTGTATGAGCAAGCAAGGGAGATGACTACATTCTTTGTAGCTAATAGGGAGGATATCTCATTGCTGTGATAGGAGCTCAAAAGAGGATTAACCAGGTTATAGAGGTGGCTAGAGGAAGTTGTTATCAACTTTTAAAGCAAGATCGCAAGTATACAAAGATAGCAAGAGCAAGCCTATCCATAGGGCCCTTGAGAGCGAAGATGCACAAACCCAAATCCTACTATGAGGAGTGAGATGCAATGTTGATTGAGAAGTTCTTATGAGACCTAGATCACTATTTGAATTCCATCACCTCATCAAAGGAGGATAAAATATTCATTAGGACCTTGTACTTGGCTGGATGCAACAAGACTTTGCAGTGATTGAGATCCAAAGATATGTCACAGTCACTAGTGACTTGCTAAGGCAAACTCACCAAGAAAATTAAGGAACTGTTTCGTCCAACCAACTATCATCAAGCGACAAGAACAGCCATGAGGCAATTGAAGTATGCTAAATTCATTCACGAATACAAGGATAATTTTTAATGTTGTTACTGAAGGTACCAAGGATGGATGAGCATGATAAGCTCCACTACTTCACTAAAGGGCTACAAATGTGGGACCAAAACAAACTTCGATGCCAAGGGGGGTAAGATGTCCACACTGTTATGGAAGTGGTGGATATGTTGAGGACAATTGGCCAACAACCAAAGGTAGGTGGGGATGCCAACTAAGTAGGTCGGGGCTATAAGGAACCAACTCTAATAAGTGCAGGATGTGGAGAGCACATCAGCTAGGGACAAGGGTCCTCGAGAAGAGATGCACCCTTGTAGATTAAGGAACTGTGGTGGACAAGCTGCCACATATATGACAGTCCCCACATGAGTGTGGAATGTCTTGATTGGGCAGACAAATGCATTGTAAGGTCTTTACTCAACATGGTGTTGGGACAAGAACAACCTTCGCCAATGATTGAAGAGGTACCCTAACTAAACACCATGGAATTGCTAAATGCTATGTATGTGATAATTTTTAAAATTATATGATGAAGATTTCAATTTTTATATGTGTTTACATTTTATTTTGTTAAAAAATACAAATCTTTATAGAATTTTCAGAAAGTAAAACTTTATGCATTTACATTGATTTATTGTTTTTTTTAAAAAAAGGTTGAATATGATCACAAGTTATGTTGGTTAAATATGAAATTTTAATATTTAGAATTCTAGAATGAGTTGAGATGTTTTTCTAAATTTTATATATTATTTTTAATGTCAATGAATTTTAAGGATTTTTAAAGATATTTTTCTGAATTTTTAAAAATTTATTATGATGAAGTAAAATAATAAAGGGGGAGAAACCATTGATTGTTGACCTACCTAGCTCACAGTGAACCAGCTAGGAAAATAAACAAATGTCAGAAAAATCAGGAAAAAACAGAAGTAAATAAATGGCAATTTGAAAACATGATTTCTTTATGAATACTTCTCTGATTGATCTGAAATTTAACATGAAACTTTCTTACTTAATGAATGATTCTCTATACTAAAAATATCATTTTTGATAGGAATTGAAGGGTAAAATGAGAGTTAAAGATTAAAGATGAAAAATAAAGAAAAATCATTAAATCAAAACAAAATTAGAGTTTTTCAGATCTAAGGAAAGATAAAGGAGGCTCTTTGCTCCTCTAGAGGAGGATAGTGGGGTGGAAGCTAAGAGGCCAAGAGGAACTGAAGGACAAGGGAATGAGGCTGAAGAGCAAGGAAGGAGGAGGTGGATCTCAAAATCAAGGTTGCTATGATTAATAGAGTTCTTTGTGTTTGTAATTTTTATTATTGTCTTATTTCATATTTTTATGTTCTTTGGGTGACAGACATTGATCAGAGAGACCTTGTTTTGAAATTTAATTAATCTAAGTGTTTCGTTCTTCTCATTTCTTGGGTAATAGACAATGAAAGGAGAGAACATTAGTTTTTGTTCTACTCTTCATCCTTAAGAATTTAATTAGCATTCTAATTTAAACTAATTTCAATCTCTTTTCTCATTATTGGGTGACATACAAGAAAACGATTTTTTTTCTTTGAAGTTATAAGACTTATTTTATATTTTATCTGATAATTAAAAACTTTATTTGTTCTAAAGGACTTTACTATTTGACAAATAGGAAAGTATGATTTTAGTTTTATAATTTATTTTTTATCACAAATTTAATTATTTTAATTTACTCTTGATTGACAACCAAGGTGTTTCTACATTCTACTTATTTTAATTTCATTTAAATCTTAGTTTTAATTATTTCAAATATTTCTCCACATCAATTAAAGTCATTCTATTAGCAGCCACTCTTCTCATCTTTCCATTTCATAGTCCTTAATATATTTTCTCCATTCATGATTTAATCATATCATCATTAAAACTATTTTTCTACTTATCTAGAACTAATAAGGAAATGAAATTAACAAATTAATTAGAGAAGGAGGATATTAAGTATTGAAGAGAATATTACATCATTTCTCTTATCCTATTTCATTTTGTTCCTTTCTTTTTAGTTATTATTTGTGCTAAGAAAATTAGAAACTTATCAAAACTAGTTTCTCACCATCCCCAAAGACCAACCTAAACATACACTAATACTATAATTTATTTAGAGAGTTCAATTAAAAATATTATTAAGTTTACATATATTAAAACCAACAACTAATGTATTATCAGTAGGCTAATATTATATAAGCTTGGCCAAGAAGACTAATTTGTGTGGAGTCAATGATCAACAATATCATGATCAAGACATTGATCAATTTGGTGGCTATACACAACTTTCTATTAGAAGGGGAAGCCAAGTGCATAAGACTAAGCTTGATCATTTCTGGTGGGAAGCAACCTTGTTTTGTGTAAGGATAAATACAGTAGTAGACAAAGCCATAACTAATCTCAATGATACAACACAAGATAAACTATTTGCGAGCATAGATATCTTCCTTGTCACCACATGAGAAGTGAAAAAAAACAAAAAAAAGGTCAATATATCACCCTTGGTACAACATTTACTTGATTTAAAGATATTATGCCTAAAAAGTTACTTGCTAGGCTTCTCCCAATATGAGATATTGAACATGCCATCAGCTATTAAAAGAACAATCCCCCAACTCAAGCTACCTATAAGATGCTTCCAACTTGTAAGAGTTGTCAAAATAATTGAAAGAGTTGCTGCAAGCAAGGAACATTCATCCCTCACATGCATCATTTGATGTACTTGTCCTTTTTTAACAAAAGAAGGACATATCACTAAGGTTATGTATGGATTAGAAGACATTGAATAAGATCATAATGAAGAATATATATTTCATACCTTATTATGGAAGATTAGTGATAAGTCTTCATTATCATGAGTTAATAATTAATAAATAATATATTTTAAGCCTTAAATCATGATAAATAACTTATATTTGTGTTAAATTATGAAATGTGATTTTTAATTGATTAACGTAATTTTTTGGTTAATTATGTGATTGTCTATGAATTTTATGATTTGTATAGTCCTATTTTTGAGATAAATGAAGAAAAAAAATTAAAATAAAAATATAACAAAAGGGGGGGACTTGTCAACTAGTTGGGCCTACAAGCGGGTCAGAAGCACAATCAGAGGGAGCCGCAAGCAAGGGCTTGAGTGATTAGGACTGATGGAGGCACGTGTGCACCCTTTTCCTTCCACGTCACTGGTGGTCAGCCGATTGTGGGGCAAAGAGTGGTCGTACACACGAAAGAAATGGACTCATCACTTGAAAATGTGATATTACTATATATTCATCTAAAACTTCGATGGATAAGCAATGTGGGACTAAACCTGTGTCACACCTTCCTCCAAAAGACTTTGAAGATTTTTAATATCTAAACTACTCCTTACGTATAACAGAGATATATTGTGATGACATCACTTGATAAAGGCATCATATTACTTATTTTCAATCTCTCTTATACAAGTAGGCAACCGGTCTGAATTCAAATCTTCTTAGAGTCAAAATTTATGTTTTTATCTAATTATTATGACTTTCTTACAAATCACCCAATGAAGGATTAAGCAACCATAATTGATGGATCATCGGCAAAAATCTCGTCTATGCAATTCACAGAACATAGTCACTAAAATAGTTGAATGATTTGCGATAAAAAGATCATTAATCCATCGAGTAAATCATCTCCGATTGATCAACGAACAAGTCGTCATCAAGAAGAGGACGATCTGTTGGAAGATCGACGAACAAGCCAATGTCGTCACTTCTTTAGAGCATACCAGATGCGATGAAGAGTTCATCTTATTGCGGAGACTTGAGAATGAAGCTCCCTGACATATACCTCACCTCCATCTAGCTCCTTTGCGTTAGGTGATAGCCATAGGAGAGTTACAAAGTCGTCATTTTTTCGCTCTATTGGGTGACAATCACTGAAGATGATTCAACTTATTTTATTGATCTCTAGACTTCACAAGGAGATCTAAGCATTGCTCATGTCATTCTTATCCAATGAGAGCCTTCGAAGCCGTGGACACTACATGACAATCTTTCTGAACACTCAAAATTTCGGTACATATTTTCTTACTTTCAACTTAATTTTTATTTCATTTATTAATAATTTATGTAATTTAAATTTATCAAGTTATACTTCATTCAATTATAATTTTTTTGATTTTTATAAATCTTAATTTGATTAATTAAATCATATATAATCACTTAAGTAAGAATCATTGAGTGGAATTTTATTTCTACATGATTTACATTCATCATGCACTAACATCATCTTGATGTCTTCACCCTTATTTCTCTTATTCGTGAATTTTAAATATATTTTATTTTCATCTTGTAGTATAAAATTCATAAAAAATTATATTCTGTAAGGAAAAGTTCTAAAAAATTACCCAATATTATATTACATCCTTGTGATTGATTTGAAAAATTATTACTATTTTTAGAAATTTTATTAAATTATAATTAATAGATTTATTCAGAAATACTTCTAAATATCTAAAAATTAATATTTGTTAGTTTTATAATTTTTAAAATTATGTGATTTACTATACAATGACTAAGTTATGTCAATTGATTACAAGCAACACATCTTCTTTAAGTTGGATTTGAACAACAAATATCACACACCCTTTACATGTTGGTTAATTATTTTCTTCTAAAAATATTGCTAATTTCAAGAGATTAGTGGTCCAACTAATCTAGTCTAATCTCTAAAGAGGTCACACTCTTTACATGTAAAGTTTTACTCTCAACACCACATGACTTCATTAAATACATTAGTCTACTAATATTCCACACATTTCATAAGTATTGACAACTCTCAACACATTGTGCCTTAACCCAAAACTTCTCTTCACTCACCACTTAAAAGTATTGTAGGTCCAATGGGGAGAGTTAATCTTTGACGTAGTAGTTGACTTAAATCACTACATATAGTGAGTAGTTATATGATACAATTTTCAATTCTTTCTTTAAATGCATTGTAGTTTTTCTTTGACAATTAGAGTGCAACATTTCTTTGAACTTAAATGAATAAAGTAGAGAGATTTTGTTTTTTAGAATTGTCTTATTCTTTGTAAGCTTGCTCTTTATATTCTCCAATTTATTCATATCTTTTCATCACTTAAAAAATGGTCACGTGAGTTCAAATTTCTTCTCATTGCTCCACCATTATGTTAATGACATTATCTTATTCTTTAGTTTAAAGTTTTTTTTGAAGATATGTAACATATCGATAGACATTATTATTTTCAAGGTCAAGCCCAAATAAGATCATTGTGCTTATCATTTTTTGCATGTGTTTGTCACTATGTTATCATCTATAATTCGTATTTCTAGCCTTTGGTCATTTCTTACTTTGATACATTTTTCTCCTCTATGTTGTGTTTGAACTTGCTTCACTAAATAGTGAAATATTTTCAACAACATAGTAAAGTTAAATATTTGATGTAACATGTCCAATATATTGCATCATATGAAACTGATGCTTAAATCTTTCTCTTTAGAGTAATTTAGTAAATATATCAACTATTTTATTTTTTATTTCAATAATATGATCTCTAATAAAATAATGTTTTACCTTTATATGTTTGGTTCTGAAAGATAATTGGGTTGTTAGCAAGGTTCATGGTATTAATATTTTCACATAAAATATGAAGTTTATCTAAATTGAACTTGTAATACACTAGTTATGGTTTTATTGACAATACTTGAGCATGGTAGCTTTCAACTGATATGTATTCAATTTCAACTATTGAAAATGCAACAAAATTTAAATTTGAGAAACCACAATATGCAGAATACTCCTTTAAAAAAAAAAGACCCACTAGTGATCTTTCTATCAACTCTAGATCTTGCAAAATCTAAATCATAATTTGTAACTAATTTGAATTCATTACCTTTGAGATAGTGAAGTCCTTGAGGTTTCATTCTAATGAAACATTTGAAGATTTTTTAGGCTTTAGTTTAAGTGATATTCTTTAATATTATATTGAAATAACGTGTAGGTATTCATCAAACAAAATCTATGGTCAACTATCTATTAGATATAATAATGAGCCTATCATACCCTATAAATTATTACATCAACTTGCTTTCCTCATTCATTAAAGTCTGGTTTATATTTTTGTTGTTGTATGGTGTTCTTTGAAAATTAAGATTGAAAATTACTCACACATCAATCTACTTCTTGATCTAAAAATAATATCATCAACATAAGTTTAAACTATTAGAAGATTTATCTCTTCCTCTATCTTTTGTAAACAAACTTACATCTATCTTTCCTCTAGTAAATTCGTTCTCAATTAAAAAAGTTTAAATTTATCATACCACACTCTAGGGAGCCATTCAAATGATATAACGCTTTCTTGAACTTGTAAAAATGATTTGGATTTTCTGAGTTTACAAATCCAACAAAATGAAAGAAACACACATCTTCTTTAGTTTTTACATTTAGGAATGCATTTTGTACGTCTATTTCAAAAAAAATGAAATTATGGATATAAGCAAGAACAAGTACCATTCTTGTAGCATATAATATGACAACTGTCTTTTTATAATCAATCCCTTCTTCTCAAACATGTTATTGTGTGACTAATCTAAATTTATTTTTTAATTTATTTCTCACTGATTTAATTTATTCATGTAAATCTATTTACTTTCAATCACATTTATATATTATCTCATACTTCATTTCTTTTATTCTCATACATAGTTTGCATCATTAAATTTTATTTTTAATTGGGTTTTGCTAATTCCGATAAGTCAAATTTTAATCACAATCCTACTACAATTATTGTCAATTTATTTTTTAGTGTAGAGTGATGTTACTTAAGTATCCTTTTATATCATCAAAATATTTTTGACTTAAAATGCAACAAAATCCCTTGTAAGTGGCAACATTGTGCACAATAATCAAATAGAGAGAATGACACCATAGTATTATGTTATTCATTAAGTATTTACAACTATTCATTAGTATTTATTATTTTTTAAAGAGTAACTTTTAGATAAAGTTAATAGAGAGAGAGAGAGAGGCACATATGTAGATTGACAATTATTCATCACTATGAATTAATATAAAGCAAAAGAAAAAAAAGTATTGATCATACATTAGTCGTTGGTTTTAATGCATGCAAAATTAATATATATATAATTAAACTATTTAAATAATTTACAGTATTAATTTAAGTTAAAGTCAATTCTCAAGGATGGTGAGACTAGTTTTGATTTTCTAATTTTTATAACACAAAGACTAACTTAAAAGAAAAGAACAAAGTGAAATGAGATGTGATAAGTAATAAAATCTTCTATTAAATACTTAATATCCTCCTCTAACTAATTTCATATATCTAATTCTCTTGTCAGCTCTAGGTAATAATAAAGAAGGTTCCAATGATGAGAGGATTAAATTACGAATAAATGAAAATAGATTAGAGATTATGAAATGGAAAGATAATAAGAGTAGTTGTCAATAGAATGACTTATATTGATGTGGAGAATCCTTTGAAATAATTAAAACTAAAGACTAAAGATATACAATAAAACTGAAATAAATAGAGTGTGTAAATACCTTGGTCGTCAATCAAGGGTAAACTAAAAAAAATTAAATTCATGATCATAAATAAATTATAAAACTAAAATCAGATTGTTGTTTGTAATGTAACAAAGTCCTTTGAACTAAGAAAGCTTTGAATGAAATATTAAATCTTATAACTTCAGATATAAATTATTTTCCTTTCCTTTTTTGTCACCTAAGGATGAGAAATAGATTTAAAGTAATTAAAATCAGAATTTTAACTAAAGTTTTAATGATGAAGATTAAGAACAAAAACTAAACCTCTCTCCTTTCTTTGTCTATCACCCAAGAAAATAAGAAGAACGAAATATTTAGATCTCTCTTATCAATGTTTGTCACCCAAGAATATAAAAGATATAAAATAAGATAAAAATTAAAATTAAAAACGCAAAGAACTTTGGTTGATTTGCATCCAATTAGTTTCCTTGATCTTCCTCCTACTTTCAATGCTCTCTAGCATTCTCCCTTACCTTTCTGTGCCTCTTGGCCTCCTAGCTTATAGTCCATATGTGAGATCCCCTAGATGAATGAAGAGCATCCTTTTATATTCCTCATATCCAAGAATCTCTCATTTAGTTTTGATTCAACTGTTTTTTTTTCATCTTGTCTTTGACTTCTATTATTTGCTCTAGTTCATGTTTAAAAATTTATTTTTAGTATATAGAATCATTCATTAATAAGTAGCAAAGCTTCATTTCAAATTCCAGATCAATTTGACAAATATTCACCAATAAATTATGATTTTTGGATCATCCTTCATTTAGGTATATTCTTTTATAATTTTTCTTGGCATGTTTTTGAGAAATTCTCAATTTTTTTGGTGGGCTCCCATGTTTCTTACAATTTTCCAAGTGTGTCCATGGTTTTCTAGGCATTTCCTACCATCTTCTACTTGTAAATCCATCAAGTTAACAAGTGGAATATATGGGATTTGAACGTGGGCCACCCATGTAACAGGTGGGTCAATGGTGTATCGACACTATGTGGAATCAGCACTCACTAAGGTTTAGTGCCACATTGATTTTTCTATTGATTTTACAAGTATATAATTCTAGGTGCTCTTGTCAATATGAGTTTCTTTTAATATAAATAAAATGGCCAAGACTACCTTGTGAGAAGGCTATACAAGTGGTCCAATCTCATGCAACACATGTGTGACAAGATCATATCTTATCCCATTCACAAGTTCTCTCTTGATGTGGAAGACGAGTGACACATGTGCTTGAGGTTCCTTAGCCACTTAAGTCCAACTCATGGTTCTTCTTGGTTTAGGTACACCCACTTGAGCAATCAACTATCGAGTGCTGGCTGGCTAGTGGGCCCCTCCTTTTTTCTTTTTTTTTTATCATAATAAACTCACCAAACTTTTAAAATATATCTTTAAAATTTTGAAATTTTCTTAAATTTTAGAATAAAATTTTAAAAATTATAGAAAGTTTAGAAAATGTATCATATCATCCTAAAATTCTAAATATTAAAATTTCTTGTTTTACCGTCATAACTCACAATCACTTTTAACCTTTTATTTTCAAATAAATATCAATATATCAATGTAAATACATAAAACATTGTTTTTTTGAAAATTATATCAATATGTGTATTATTTAACAAAATAAAGTGTAAATAAAAAGAAAAGTTGACATCTTAATCATATAATTCAAAGAATTATCATGTACCAAGTTTATTTTTTATTGTTTTAATATTTAAGCCCAAGTGATTTTTTTGGTTGGTCACTAAGTTAGGCACTAGAGATAAAATTCTAATTAAAAAACATAACTCAAACCTCCTCAACCCTTGGTTTGCCTCTCTTAGCCTCCCAAGACTTACACCATTGGGCTCATACACTTGTTCTAATCATTTTTTAGAAACAAGTTGTCCTTCATACACATGATTATACTTGTTCTAATCATACACTTGTGAGTGTACATGTATGACTGTTTGTGCATGCATTCTGTATGCTTATGTGCAAAGGAGGATTTATTTTCAAGAAAAGATGTGTTCTAAATCCATGAAACCTCACTCCAAAACACAAAGCCCCACTAACATTTTTTCTTCTTTGAAGTAAAAAGTACTCTATGAGCATCATTATTAGGTTTTTATGTTGAAAAATTACTCTTGTTATGGCAATGCTATTTTGGTAAGATTGCAACTATGTAAATGGTCTATATGATATAATCTACCTATCAAGTTTGAAGTTTTGAGAGTTCTCCTTATTGTGGTATAAAATAGTCAACTTGTCTTAAATGAAGCATATGTAAGGGAGCAAAATGGCACCAAGGGTAATACTTTTGACTTCGAACATCTATATATTTAAATTTATTTAGTTATAGTATAAATTTACATAAAGGTGTGAAATAATAATTTTACATTACTAGATTGATGTAGATCAAAATATTGGTAAAATATTTTTCCAACTGTTGGTAGAATCCTAATGATTTTAGGATCATTTGCATGCTATTTTATTAGTGACCAAGACAAGAGAATGCTAAACGATTATTTTTATGTAATCATTATTGAGTAATGTTATACTATATTATATAAACATAAAAAAACACAATGGGTTTGTTAATAACTGTCTGGGTTTGTTGGTTGCCACGTGTAAAATATTATAAATTATTTCACATATCGGAACGGGGGAAGATTACTTAATTGGTATAGTTGAGGATCGGTCTTCTCTCCAATGAGACTCCTGCAAGGGCCTCACTAGTAGGCACTTACTAGGCCCCCATATGGAGACCGACCTGGAGCATATTTTCCATGTCCATTGGGCAGAGTCACGTCTCCTCTCTAGACAGAATAATTCAAAATTTTTATATCGTCTATACTTTAAATACTTACACACACCACACTTAGAAAAGGCCGAAATCCAGATGACCCACAAATGATGAGGAGAAGGAGATCCTGCTGGATCGTCGAAGGATGTCTCAGAGGGCGCGGGGCTTGGCAACGATGGTGGAGTGGGTAAGGATGTGCATGCTGAACTGGCCACCTTTCTCGGTGGTGTCGATCTTGTCCTGGCCCGGCGGCGGCAGCAGTTCGAAGTTCTGCACCAGGCGGCCAATGGTGATGCCGAGGATGGGAAGGGCTAGGATGATGCCTGGGCAGTTCCGCCGGCCGGCGCCGAAGGGGAGAAAGCGGAAGTCGTTGCCGTTGGCCTCCACCTTGGCCTCCTCCTCCAGGAACCGCTCTGGCCGGAATTCCTCCGGCTTCTTCCAGTGGTTGGGGTTATTGGCGAGGAACCAGGCGTTGATCAGGATCTTGCTCTCGGCGGGGATGTCGTAGCCGGCGAGCTTTGCGTCATGGAGGTTCATGTGGGGAACGAGGAGGGGGATGGCCATGCGAAGGCGGAGAGTCTCCTTGATGACGGCCTGCAGGTAGGGGAGCTTCGGCATGTCCGGTTCCGTCACCTGGACACCGGCACCGAGCACGGCATCGATCTCGCGGCGGAGCTTCTCCTGGATCTCTGGGTGGTTCACCAGCTCCGCTATGCCCCACTCGATCGACCAGAGGGTCGTCTCGATCGCTAGATAAGACCACACCGGGACAGTGTGCATATTTAATATATTTATATATATAAACATAGCTGGAGAGAGTGAGAGAGAGAGAGAGAGATGCTCACCGGCGACGTTGATGTTCTCGACGATGTAGAGAACATTGTCCTCGTTGATCTCCCCCTTCTTCTCGGCTTCGAGTATGTGATCGATGGCGCACTTGAGACCGTCGGAACCGCCGGTCTGGTTGAGTTTCCTGCGGGGCAAACAGACTCGGTCGGTGAGTAGGGAAATCGCAACTCGGAAGGTCGACTCGGCGGGCGTTGAGGGTCAGGAATACCCACTTGCGCTCTTCCACGAAGCAGTCTTTAAAGAGCTGAATCCGGCGTTCCTTAACGTCCTTGCACATCTTCAGGTACCCACGGAGGAACGGCCGGAGGATGGGGATGAAGTCCCCGTAGTTATACTGGAAGCTCTGCGCCAGGCGGCTCCGCTCGCCGTTGAGCGCCTTGAGCTTCAGGAAGAGGGGGTCCTCCTCCGACTCGAAGCGGCGGTCGAACATGATCCTGTACATGTTGTTGTACATCATGAGCTGGAGGCGCCGCCGCAGCACCACCCCCTCTGTCGCCGCCTTGGGGTTGGCCTTGAGGTCTGCCACCACCCGTGCGGCCTCGTCCTCCCACCCGTGTCTGTTCTGCTGGACCACCTTGTTGGTGAAGAAGGGCACGGTCATGATCCGCCGCATCTTCCGCCAGTGGTCCCCGTAGACGGTGAAGACCATGTCCTGGCCCTTGCCGGTGAAGATGTCGAAGACGACGTTGCGGGTGCGAGAGCCGAACTCCACCCCCTGCGTGTACAGGACCTCGCGTGCCAGCTCCGGCGAGGAGGCCACTACCAGGTTGCGCTGCCCCATCCGGAGCAGGAAGATCTCGCCGAAGCGGCGTGCCATGGCCGTCAGATTGCGGTGGTTCAGGTCATCGCCGACCTGCAGCCAGTTGCCGAAGACGGGAACAGGAATTGGCCCCGGTGGCAGCTTGAACCGCTTCCCTCGTAGCTTCGAGACGACCACGGCAACCGTGATGGCCACGAAGAGCCCCAGGAGGACCTTCTCCAGCAGGACGAGATCCATGGTGGGTTGTGCCGCTGTTCTTCCCTTGCCACGGAACCGCTGAAGAGGGGTTTATCCCGGAGGCGGGCTATATAGCGGTCGCTGACGGCAAGGTCGGTGACGGTGGCCGTTACTCTTGACGGTGGACGGTAGGTGAGGGTTGAATTTAGGTGGCTAGGTCTTTTTCTTATTGGATTGTTCATCTTTTATCCCTATGAAATTTTATAATTGATAAAAAGTCGTCAATTTACCAGATTCCAATCAAAACGAGATCAGTACGTATCCCCAATCCCCATCTGAGACATTTATACAAATCGAGCCTTTTCAGGGTTTTAACGTAAATATCCTCAGTCGGTTGGAATTTTTATCCTTACAATGACGTGGCGCTCTAGGAAAGTATCTCTCGACCAATAGGAATAGTCCACGAATGAAACTATTGCCGGCTGCCCGCAGCATGCCTACTGTTTTGCCTAAGCCCCGGAAGTCTGGCCCGCTGTGGACCGAGTTGGTGGCGACCTAACAGGTAGTGGGTAGGTAGCTCCAGCTGGAAGTCGCTGACGATCGCGACCTCCACGTGATCTCACCCGTCTAATTATCTGAGTATCCCAATCTCAGCCGTCTGATCCTAAATTATTCCCATATTTCTGGCGTGTGCTAGAATAGCGGAAAACAAATTGTGTCACCCCTGTTGACTATGTCACGGGCCGTAAGCCCATGGTGACCAAGTCACGGCTCCGTTAGAGAGACAGAGAGAGAGAGAGAGAGTGGAGCCGGGTCGCAACGGTTGACTAAATGAAGGCCGATGACCTAACAATGTGGAAGTAGGAGACGAAGGTGGGCCAGGATGGCCAGGTCAATGGGGTCAGCCCATTTATTAATACTTAAAAGGGCATTTTGGGGCAGCGGTGCACGTTCATGTTCATTCCTTCTACTATCGGCTGCTCAGACGTAGTCAGATTCCCATAGAGCCGTGTGGGCCGAAAAGGGTGCTAATGGGCCTACCTTTCCCACATACATATTTTAAAATATCGCTTACAAAAAAAAATAGTTCAGTGGACATTTCTTATGATTTTATGGTAAATCGCGTCAACTCTTCCACGATGTGGATGTAATGAACGAAGCTTGAAGGCGGCTCTGGCTTGAAAGAAGAAAGAGATAGTGCACTGTTTATTCAAATAGCCACGTGAATCGACCACTCACGTGGCCTCATACGCGTGATCAACAACGCCACCGTAATTCCATTTTTGGGGTAATTCATTGCCACTTTTGTATATTTTCTTGAATTTATCTACAAATTAAGACAACTTTCAGACATTTCGCACACAGGTTACGTGGCCACCACCTAACCGTGCAGCTCCGCCGCCGCCGGATGCTTGATCGAGGACGAGTTTCAGGTCAACGTGTCGGGGATCGCATGTCCGGAAACCAGTAGACAGAGAACGGAATTCCAAAGATCGCGTGTTGGTATACGTTCCAACTAATCAATTCACGTTTTGATGGTCGAATGAAATACTTGAAAGAAACAACCGTTTAAAAGGACTCGGTCAAACCGGAATCGATGACAGTCAACCGCTTAAAAGGGTAATACTCGTTGACTCAGATTAAAGATCTTGGAACGAACGCATCTCACCAATGCATGCCCGACTTATAGACTGTATTTTAGTGAAAATAATTGGACTACTAGGCATAATAAGTATAATCAGCTAGGATGATGAATAAAGAGGTGAAGATAATGAAACAATTTCGGAGAAACCTCGTCGTAAATCATGGAAATAGAGAACATGGCAGATTGTTTGAGATGATTGGAGCCTCAGACAGCCAGAAGATTTTTCTTCATGATTTGAAAATTCAGACGGTAATTCCAATGACATATGATCCTCATGGGCTCTTGAAGAACGAACAATTATCAAAAAAATCAAGCAAAACGAATATTAAGAAAAAAATAGGATTGTGATCGCACGTAACGGCTCCATGGATAATCTGGAGATTATATCCATAGGTTCCTATCAGGATGCGAAGCAGTTTGATCTTCGCCCAATCATAGCATCACCAGTCATGGCGTTCGAGCTACAGGTGACGTGGCTTGGGCAAGAAATTCCTGTGCAACAACACACACGCAGGTTTTGCCGGTAGGATGGCGAAGAAGTCCCTCGGCGACCCATTTCATAATCACACACGCAGAAGAGCGAACGCCGACCGGTTGTGATCCTCTCTTCACACCGCGAAGTCAAACCCTAGATCCGAGAAAGAGAGCAGACGGAAGAGGTCTCGCAACATTCCCGCTTCTACTCGCCATCTAGACCTGAAATCCCGGTGTAAAGAGAAGAACGGTCTGGAGAAGCACAAAATCCGCGTCAAGTGTCATACGGCACTTCCTATCAATGGTCTTGCTTCTTCACCGGGATCTAACAAGAGCTCCGACCGGCAATCATGACAGGGAAAGAACATCTGCGGCAGATGGCTGGAAGACGAACGGCAGGGAGCATGACATTGAAAACCCGGTGAAACAGATACATAGATCGAAGATGACACTCCGCTCGGATGATTGCACCCAAGGAAAGGCGAAGAAACAAAAACACAATAGAGAAATCATCGGATTATTCTACGGGAGAAAAATAATCTTCATTCAACAATCGCGTAGATTCAAGAGTGCGATAATTTCACCCAAGGAAAGACGAACCGAAACACAATCGAGAAAAGCTCGGATAATTCCTACTGACGAACAAGAAGCTTCATCGATGAAGTTTCCTTGCACATCCGTTCAAAGGAGGGCCAGCAAACATCAATCTCCCCGTTCCCATTTCGAAAAAGAGAGAGAAGAGACAATAGCTACTTCAGCGGCTCCGATTTTAAAGGCGGCGTCGACGCCGCCGCCCCCTGGAGCGCTCCGTCGGGGGAGATTAGGGCTCTCGTCTCTGATGAGAATCCGACGGCTGAGACGATCTCGACTTCGACGGTGGATCGACGCACCGCGGCGAACCTGCCCCGCGCATCTGATGTGCCGCTTAGTGGATCTAGCACGGCGACTATGGGCTTGGTTTTCATATGGATGGGCCGGGAGTCTTTCATTCGGTCCAGCCGTACTAATTTGTTATTTTATGAAATAAAATAAAATTGGGTTTTTTGGTTCTAGCACAGCACAAACGCTTTTAGACTTAATATTTAATTCCTAGGGTTAAAGTGCGCAATAAATTCATAAACCATCCCATTACTATTTAGATGACACTCTCCAAATATTATGAAATATAGGTACGAGGCATTATATATGCTGAGTCATGATTTGCAAAAAGGAGTATAAAGCATTTTGCATTACTAATTAAAACATCATATTTTCACTAACGTTAACATCTTTGATTACTATATTTGGTACAGTTTCAATCTTCATATCTTTGATTTTCATGGTGATCATCATGCACTATGGACTGACTTTTTAGTTTACATAGCAAAAAAGTAATTGTACCTAGTTGACTTTATTGTTTTCTAATGTTTAAGTCAACACATGATGTTAACTTTGTTGGTTTGTGACTAAGCAGGAAACAAGAGAGAGCATTCTAATTTTTTTTATAAAAAAACTAACTTAACCCCCTTCCATCTATCTTGGCCTTTTTCTCTTAGCCTTTGAAAACTTGCACTATTGAGTTGAAACAGTCTTCTAGCTCTTTTTCATAAACAATTCATCCTTCATGCACATTAGTCCATGTGTTCCCATGTATGTGTGTGTGTATGAGTGCAAAGAGGGATTTTTTTAAAGAAAAAAGGTGTGTTCTCAATCAAAGAAGTATCATTCCAAATGGTTTGTCAATATCTACAAGTAAAATATTATATTTAGTTTCACTTATACTATTGATTGTAGTGGAGAACTATCATTTAATTAAATACATAAAATGATACATGTAATAACATTGAATGGGCCATTACTAAGCATGCGTCCTCTCTACAATATGAATCCCACTTGGATATCTTAAGTAGACATTCTCTAGACTTAACATAGAGATTGACTTGGACTGTTTTCCACATTGACTAGGCATGACCATAGCTCAACTCCAGTCATAATAATTCATATTTTATATATTTCTATGATTTAAATAGTTACACATGCCACACACCTAGAAATGTTAAACATATTAGGATATCTTGTTATTGGGAGCTATTAAATATAATAAGTCCCATGTTATTAAGCACCATCAAATATAGTAGGGTTCCCTCTTTTTTTTTTGTCTTTGTAACACTCTACATAAATGGTGATACAAGCTTGCCTAAGTTTGGCCTTTCTTCCTATCTTCCTTTCTTCTCTACTTTTGAACACGTCATTTAGAGTCAACCCCCACCTTCCCCTCTTTTGTCCTATGTCGTGATCACCTTTTTAGCTGATCCCTAGCTGGTCTTATTACCCTCTCTACCTCTCCTCTGTCCTCATTGAGATCTCCTCTCTCCTTTCCCAAGTCACTATCTCACCTCTAGCTATCTTAGTTTGTTGACTAGTCCAACTCTCTAAGGGAACCCATGGATGAGGAGGAAAAAGAGCTCAAAGGATTTCAAATAGCAGGGGGCTTGATGACGATGGTAGAGTGGGTGAAGATGAGCATGTTGAACTGACCACTTTCTCGGTGTTGTTGACCTTGTTATGTCTTGGCGGCAGCAGCAGCTCAAAGTTCTAGACTAGATGGCCATTGGTAATGCTGATGATTAAGAGGGCCAAGACGATTCTCAAGCAGCTCCACTGGCCAATGTCGAACGAGAGGTATGAAAGTCGTCGTTGTTTGTCTCCACCTTAGCAGCCTTCTTTAGGAACCTCTCTAGCCAAAATTCCTCCAACTTTTTCTAGTGGTCGGGGCTGTTGGTGAGGAACCAGATGTTGACTAGGATCCTACTCTCGAAAGGGATGTCGTAGCCAACAAGCTTGGCATCGTGGAGGTTCATATCGAGCACAAGGAAAGGGATGATTGTGTGCAGGCGAAGAGTCTCCTTGATGATGGCATGCAGGTAAGGGAGTTTCAATATGTTTGACTCTGTCACCTAGA